AATTGCTATTTTTGACAGGAGCTGGATGGAACACACCATAACATAATGGTTGAGGACTGCTCTTTGCCATTGTGGCAGCTCGTAAGAAATATTCAATAGGTGTCCATAATCGTTGGTTAAAGTTTGTTTCATTAATGGTTGAAGGTTCACGAGTAGCTTGCATGAAGAAAAACTCATTTATAGCTTTAAAAATAAACGTTCATCCTTTATTCCTTCACTGTCGTCCGTAGCTTAAGATTTATAGTCATCTATCTGATTATGGGGATGCCATTAAGCCACGCACCTGAATGGCCAAAGCAACAATCCCTTCATAAAATCCAAAAGTGGCTTTGGACATTTTAGTTGCATAGTTCAAATAGGTCCTTTAACAGACAATTTCGTAATGTATATGGAGCAGTAGATGGTTTGACTTGCTGAAGCAAAAAGTCACTTCTGTTGGAAAACCACATAAGAAAGTGTGTTGTCATAGCTATCCATTATGTTCCACACTACCATCTCCACCAATGACCTATATAACATCTTCATTAAATCCGTATCATATCATTGTTTGTATTGCAAGCGTTCGCAACCATTTCATAAAATAAGGTTCCAGGAGATTCTTTAGGTTCTGCAGGCATATTCCATAAGCTCCCATGGAAAAGCTGAAGATATTTTAAAACTTATGGTTTCTCAAAATTAACATAATAGTTGTTCTTTCTTCTAAATAGTGCCCAAATACTTTTAACATTAATAGGCGTTAAAGCTGTTAAATGTATGCACTTGAACTATCTGTATTCTTTGAGAATTGAAAACACGTCCATAGGAATCCAATCATTAACTTTAACAGGAAAAACATAAAGCCTCGTTTGTTATAATGATTCTAACAAGTTCTGTATTAAATGTTAGGGTCTAAAGAGAATGCTTTGGATGAATGAAACATTATTAAAATCCATCTTGTTCGGAAATAAGTCTGCTGGGTTTACAAGTTGTAATAGTAACTGTTCCACTAGCTTCTACTGCCTTCTTATCTAGTGAAATTGGTTCATTTCCATGGAACAAATTTATTGTGGTGGATTTGAATCATGAAGGCAAATGCAACTTTAAGAGTTGGATATGAGCAAATAGATAAATCATTATACAGAATATAAGATATAGAGCATAGTAACGAAGCGTACGCTACTGAAACAAATAACTTTAGACATAGATGATATTACAATAAGCAAGACATAGAGAATATACAGATAGAAATTCTAATGGAGAGATAAAAAAAAATATCAGAGTATCTATAGAGACATATAAATCAAATATAATATATACCTGACATGTTAATTTGGACCACTAAACAATTTGTCCTGTTCTGGCATGTTTCCGAATGACTCAAACATCTTCATGTGCGAGTCTTTTGAGAAAACATCTATTTCTTTAATTTGTTCGGTAGTTTGTGAGTTTGAAGATTTATATATTGCTTCTTATCTTGCGTTGTCTTGAGAAATATACGATACGACCATTTGCAAGGATTCTGATTCCAGCAACTGCATAGAAAGCGTCATCGAAAACCAATCCAAAATCCATGGTGGGTTTGTATTTATTGGGAACCTGAACCAATTTCTTTATCTACAATAAAATTGACCTTCCATTTTATACGTAAATGAATGTATTGTAAAGGTCCAACATATTATTCACAGGAGGTGAGAGATTGAATGTTACCCATGTGTTATCTTTAGCAGTTCCAGGTTGTGTGGATCTTTTGCGTCAGACTAATTTTCTAATTAAGATAGTACACACAATTTGAACTGCATTGTCAAATAATATATAAATCAGAAATAAAGAGCGAATCTGAATGAATATGACTCTGCATGGAGTAAATTCGATTTAGGCTGTAAATCAAGATTCAATAGACAATTGTATTTACTCACGATAAAAATATCTATTTACTTCATTATTCTCACTCTTTCGTCGTGGCATTTCGTGGTGGAGTTGTTTCTTGACATTTTCAATGAAGCTGTACATTCTCTTTTGTTCACTTCAATTATCATGAGAAAGAGTCAGGATTCTTTGACTCGGTGTTTTTCAATGAAAATTCACCGACTTTGCAATAAGCTATTTGGTTTTCGTTATTGAAAGTACATCTGGCTTCTTTCTTTCTAGGTTCATATTGAACTTTTCAGTTTGAAACAGAAGTGCTTAACCTGGGATCTCAGCCCTCAGTGCCATTCACCGTTAATAGTTGTCGCTTTCTGGCATTCGCTAATGGAAACCTTAATCTTTAATTAACAGTTACCGTATATTATTTTACCATTCTTTACTCTGACTTACTTAATAGAAAGGATGTTGTATTCCCTTGCGTCATTTAAATATAATTAGCTTCGCTCTGAATTTTGACAAGCTCATTTTAACATCGGATCAAAGTTCTTAATTTTTTTTTTATCTGCAGTCAAATGACTTCAAGACAAGAGCCCTACGGAACAGACCCAAGGGCATAGAATGTTGATAGCATTGAAGAAAGAAATCGTGAGCAAATTTTTTCCGAAACTGAAGGAACAAAAACAAGAACAAAGCCAGAGAGGACCAAAGAGAAACTTAGTGAAAAAACAACTTGCTGAAAATGACTAGCTGCTGGAAGACCAAAAGAACCCAAGACTCACTGGCGAAAAAGCTTAGAGAAGAGCTGAAGCAAAAGCAAGAAGCTGAAGCAAAGAAATAGTTAAATGTGTTATTTTTATCGAACTAAATGTATAGACCAATACCTTTATCTGTTGCGTTCGTAGTGAAAACCCTGACGTCAAATAAAGGGGAAACAGAAGTAAACGTTTAGTTTCAATCGCTGATTGTGAACATGAAATGAAGAGAAGTACATTGCGCATAACAATAATCACAATGTAATAACACGTGCTTTCCAGAAAGGTTGACTTTATACTTCAAGTCGAGATAGAAATGACGAAACAGTCTTTAAGCGCCCAAACATTCACATATACAAAATACTTAAAGCACGATACCAACATTGCAACAATGTATGACTTCATTTAATAGATATGTTCGAGAAAAAGTTTAACATTGAAGTACAACTTTACAGCCTTTACGTGAGTTTCTTTGCACAACTGAAAGAAAAAGGTAGTCGGCCACAACTTATAGACTTTCATTATGAATTTAATGAAAATGAAGATGGACACATTACTGATACACAGTTTGTCTGTATTCTCACCATTCAATGAAAGTATGTAAAAAGAAAGAAAATCATTACGTATAAGATTTTCAAATCTCTGAACCAAGTGAATAATCCTCCAAAAATGTTTTCATTATGATGCAATGCTTCCGAGGAAAAAAGAATTTTCAAAGATTGTAACACCTGGTATTGGATAGCAAAGCAAGCTATTCGTTTTCTCTAATTAGCCAAAAGGCGTTTGTAAAATGATTCATTGGTCATCAAGAACTTCACCACTTCCTAACCCTAAATACATATTAAATAACTGGCTTCAACGTGGATTATAGAAAAATACGCACCCACACAATCGATTCCTCCATAACAATACAAAATGACCATCCAAACTGCCCCACGCTCTACTATCCCACCCTCAGACCATAGGACTGTCACTATCTAAATTGCAAAGCCACCCAAACTCAACCTACTATAACCAACAATCGCAGTATTGTAAAATCTACGCTAGTTTTATTTGTATCAGAATAACCTCATTCATGACCTCATTCAATGACCTCATTGCATGACAAAAATAAAATGACCTCATTATGACCTCATTGCTGACAAAATAATGACCTCAGAACTTCAACTTACGAATAAAGCTTGTTTTGTCGTTATGGAAGTTACACTTTTTCAGCAAAAGCAGGACTAGAAGACTCTACACAGTTCGAATCCAAGTCTCTTGACCATCATGAGTGCTTTGTAAAGTTTTCCATTAAACGAACTCAGAGTCCTTTGCTCATATGTATTCCAACAGGTATGTGAATGTTCTTATCTTCATTGTAATAGCATGTATAGCTTCAGGAAACATTTCATGTAGCTGGTTTAAGCAAAGAACGTAACTGGTTTGACACCTTTAACACGTGCATGGAATGCAACTTCATTAAATCGTTTAGTGATAAGTCTATGTAGTCTTCTTTCACAAATATTGACTTTATGCTAAACTTTGTTTCCAGGTTGTTATTGTCTGGCGAAGTCAGAATAAATTGACCAAGGTTCTTTCCTATAAGTTCGCGACCGTATCTCTTCTTAAAACTCTGCTGCAAGCTTTGGTATGTCTTCATTTGAAAAATTGCATGCTATCACAGTCCTGGTAAAATATTTGGAGTTCCATATCTTCAGCAGATCTTCTCTTTTTTCGACATGAGAAAACTTAAAAACACAGTATTTTATTACAGGAATGAAAATTCGCGGAACTAACGATTTGGGATATAGATGGATTCAACATCTTCCAAGTTATGCATTAGAATTTTCGAATGATAATATAACTTTTTTCCCAATATTTCAGGAAAAGAGATCTACGAGGATAACTAACACAACTCTTGAAACTGAATATCATTTCGATACAAAAGGGTATTTTAGATACTTTCGGCTGAGGCAAACTGATTCAGTAAGTGGAAGAGAAGATCATGGCCAATACATTTCATGGCTTGACTTTTATGTCATAAATAACTTCTGTTCTGCTTGTTATCAGACATACTCTCAGTTAGTTTTCTCTTATATCTTAACTTTTTCTGTATTTTTTAATTGTGATTAAATCAAATGCTTTTAACACAATTAACAATGATTTTTATGCGTATATATTTTATTTGATATCATAAATTTTCTGAATTTCATTGAATACTTATCAAAAAATCTCGATATCTTAAATTTGGCATATAAACATTTAAGTTCTCACTATGACATGAAGAGAAGAGGAGAAAAATTCTATTTTTAGATAATTTTGAGAGAAAATTTGATATATAATTTCTAATCTTTATTTATAACATGCATGTTCAAATATATAGCATATTTATTAACTCTATAAAGCACTTTATAATTGAGTTCAGAACAAAGAATAGTCAGTAGATCCAATATCGAATTCTGTTGATTGAGAATGAGCCATCTGCTGATTGTCCCATACTGGGTTCCAATCATTCTCGTAATTCTTAGTTTCCCAGCCATCGAAACAGTCAACAGAGTATGAAATAGTCATATCATGATACTGCTGTGGCTTTGAGCTAATAGTAGGTTCCTGAGGGATCAAACTCTCTTGTGGCTTCGGAAGGGCCATTTGCTGTGTAAATTGTGGAGATATTCTTGGAGGCAAAGCAAGTGGCATTCCGTGGGCCGTATTATAAAACTGTACTCCTTGAGGGTTAGTAATTTGTTTCTTATCGTCATTTATGTCTTCATCTGTAATGGTTGGCAATTGAATCGATCTGATTGAGGAAAGGAAGCATATCTGTGCATCATTAGAAGCAACACGTACTGTCCATTGGCGGAGTACGTTTGCATCATTCGCTAAAGAAGGTATAATAGATAATACAACTGTTCGTGCTTTTGATTTTGTCTTCAATGCTACATAGCCTAGCTGCTGTAAACTACCGTTGATAGATGATTTGCACCTACCGAGAAAGTTCTTTAATTGACGAGTATTAACGCAAATAAACTGACCAGCGAAACAAACACCAACTAGAATAGTTCTGTTTTCTCTTCCGCTCGCGGAATGCTCCAGATACTTTAAAACTGTCTGTAATTCATTGGAAAAGGAAACAAGTCTTCTATCTTTTGTTGATGTTTTTTGGTTTTTATGAAATAATGTGCGCAATCTTTGGAACTCTATCTTATCATCTTGAGACAATGCATTCCAATATAATGGAGGAAGGTTTATCTCTTGAACTCTGTATGGTGCAGCTGCATACTGCGCCATTGGTCTAAAGAAATTTAGTTCTCAAATTTTTTGTGATAAAAGATTAGTAGTATATGCGGACGGGTTTAGTGACTTTTTTTGTTACATCTATATATAGACGATGCATTAAAATATATTTATTTATAAATCATTAAAAAATTAACATTAATTTTAAAATAATTTATTTTTTTATCTTTTATAAAAGAAGCTATATATAGATGATGTCAGATATTCCGCGATTAATTAAACATTGTTTAAATCCTGAATGGGTTAAACTTCAATTTAAAAATAAGAAATGTGAATTATTAAATGAATATGAAAGCCAAAATAAGCTAATGAGGTATAAATATAATGATAAAGAATATTTAATTTCATGGAATCAATGGAGTCATAATCAAAGACCTCATAAACGAGAAGAAGAAATGGAAAATAATGAAATGGAAATCATTGATGACATTAAAGAGGATGGAATTCCTAAATTTTGTAGAAAAACCTTTAGAACTAAGTTAGGAGCATATAAACGTAGAGTATTAAATCCTGAATATCTTAAACATCAATTTAAAAAGGAAGACTGTGAATTATTAAACGCTAATGAATATGAAAATGCTAAATCAAAACTGAGATATAAATATATTGGAAGTGATGAAAGGTGTAAAGATAAAGATAAAGTTTATTCAGTTTCATATAATAACTGGCACACGTTAGGGATAAGAAAACATTTAGGAGATTATGGGAAATGTTCTGAATTCTTTAAATCTAGTATATACGAGAGAGTAAAAGAAATTAGAAATAATTATTTTCATGAATAAAAAATAAACTTTAAAAATTCATGTCTTACGAAAAAAAAAAAAAAAAAAAAAAAAAAAAAGGTAGTGGGGCTTCCAGGCACTTCGTGCCCTCTAGCCCCGAAGATGTTTAGTATAAATGAAGTTTTTATTCGGAAAATTGTTAGTCTTCTGGTGTGAATTCGGAGGACTCTTCTTCTTCAACATCAAAGTCATCTGGTGTATCGAACTGAATGTATGAAAGCCAAATGTTGTATGTGTTTTCCAATTGGCTTTCAAACTTGAGATACATTCCATGCATGAGTGTTATTTCAGTTTCAACGTAGAGTTGCTGATGTGGCTTGAAGACATGCATGAGAATTGGTCCTCCAAATTCGTCCTTGAAAAACTTGCAGTAGCAAACATAAACTGAGATAGAGTCTCCTTCTTCAATGTCTTCTGCTTGGTTAACGAAATGAATAGCAATTTTGCGTACTTGAATTGTGTTGTTGTCTGAGTAAAATAATGGTTTGAACTTGGGTTGAGTGAGCTAAGACATTGCCATTTTGCTGTTTCTTGTCCGTACTCACGTTCTTCTTCGTCATCCTGATATCCGTAACTCTTTGATTGAATTCGACCCAAAGCTGTTCGACTTTTTTTGCAGCTTTGGGTGGAAGACTTTCAATAAGCTGACATATAGTTCTGTCAACCATTATCTTTGTTATTGTTGGAAAATAGTTGACAATTGTGTCACCTAATTCGAATGGGTCAGGTGTTTCTTTTTAGTTTTGGTAAAGTCTGCAAGAACTTTGTTGAGTTGTTCACAATATTCTTTGTTAAAAGTTGCAGGAACTCTTTCTTCTGGCTTTGAATTGAAGTATTCTTCAGACAATCTGAGTAGTATTTTGCGTAGTTCAGCGTTGCTGTGGTTCTTTGTAATACGGAGCTCGTTTGGTATTGTTTTTGGTAGTGAAAGTGGCTTTGGATTGAGTGAATTGCAGGACAAATTTGAATTTGAATTGTCTGTTCTGCTTGGAGAATGTGTAGATGCTGCAGTTTGATATTGAGGTTCTAAACCTGTGGGTGCTGAAAGTCTGCAAGCAATTTCTTCAGGTGAATTTGGAGCGAACACGCTAGCGAATGCCATTATGAAAAATGAACTGTTTTTTTTCGGACAACTCATAGAAAAGTTTAAAATAAACGGTTTTTACCAACGGAGACCCCCTCTATTTTTTTATTTTATTTAATAGTTACCGTTGGCAAACGTTCCATCTCAAATATTGAATGAACTATAAACGTTTTTTGTTTTCTATATATACTTTTTTGTCCAACGGTAAAACTTTTTAACACAACGGTTTTTGAGAGTCGTCGCTGTTGACTTTTTTGTAGAGCACTCAAAATAGTATAACTTTGTCCGGACAAATAAGGGTCTATCGTCGCTACAGGAAAAGTTACGGGCGTTCCAAGGAAGTATACTTTGAGAAGCCTTTTCTCCATTTTAAAACAAGATAGGACGGTTATTTTACAAAACTGACAACACGTTGACCGAGTTATTTTTGTGCTGAACAAAAAGTGTCATATAAACATCTGTCAAAAACCGTTTTTTACTTCACTTAAAATGCCACGTAAGCTACGTAAGAATATACGTAAGAGGAAGGGAGCATTGAAACATCCAATAGTAAAAACTAACACCACAACAACAGTTGCAAACAACAAATTATGAATGACCCCACTATGTTGCAACAAATGTCAAGCAACCCTATGCTTTTAAACCGAGTTATTGGTGCACAAAGTGGAGGTTTAAAAGCGGCACTTTTAGCGAAAATGGCAGGCTATGGTGGAGCTGCAGACGGAACAGCTTATAACCTCAAAGTCAAATGAATTTGAGTTCACTCAAAATCAAATAACAGATGTCAATAAAGTACAACACTAAGAATAAGAAAATAAAGTGAAAACGAAAAGAAACTAGAATATGACAGACAGACAAAGAAACTCAATGAGTTAAACGTAGAGAAAAGAAAGAAGAAAGAACAAACTGAAAGAACTAAGTACAGAGGAATATGCGAAAAAAGTGTCAGAAAAAGCAGCAGAAGTAGCAAAAATGGAACAAGATGTTATAAATTTGAAAAACCATACTACTCAATATAAAGTACTGAAAGATGAAGAGATAAAACAAAAAGCCCTGAAGACATATATGGATAGCGATGAGTATAAAAAAGAAGTTGAAGCAAATGTAAAGGCGAAAAACTCTCTCCTGGAAGCCCACTTCCTTTTTTTTTTTTTTTTTTTTTTTTTTTTTTAGATGTAACAAAAAAGTCACTAAACCCGTCCGCATATACTACTAAGATTTTCCTAATTTTTATTCTATTTTCGGGTTATTTAGATTGTTCTTTAACCATTTTAGAAGTTAGATTTTCTTTGATTGCGAAGACAATTTTAGAAAATTAATTCTTGATTGAGCAACTATAACTGTATCAATGGATTCGAACTAGTTACTAGAGAGACGCCGCATTTTAGTGAACAATCAACTAATAACTTATGAATATCGATTAGAAAGATATCGAATATCAGTTCGAATATCTAACAATCTATAAATACATTCAGAATCATGAGAATAAATAAGAGTCCAAAGCAAATATAAGTTCTCTAAAAATAATTTTTTATTCTTAATATATCGGCAAGTTAGATTTGAAAAACATGTCAAAATATCTGTGTAATATTCTATCATATAATGAACATGATAAATTTTGATTTCATTTCGTATATTTTGATAAGGTTTTTCTTTTCAAGCTTTTTAATATTGTCATCATAAACAGATGAATGGGATGAAATCATATTATACTGAAGACTTTGTATGATTTCAACGTATTTTTTGTGAATGAGATAAAATATCCGAATTAATACTTATTTGTTGGCATTTCCTAAATTTTTGAGTATTTCCTTCATTATGACATCTGCTGCGCCTGGATTTTGCTGTTCGATTTTCAATAATTGTTGATACATCGCTGCTAAGTTTCCAACTTGATCTGTATACTTTTTATTTTCGATCATAACTCTAATTGCTTCGAGCATTGGACTTTTATTTGGTTGCACCGCATTTGCATTTTCCGACATTTATAAAAAATGACAAAATTATTTACCTTTAAACCTCAATGGAATTTCTAACATCTAGAAAGCTAATTGGTGTACAGCTAATTAAATTCTCATGATATTGCAATACGAGAAATATACTTGATAAAAACTGCTCACGCGGAAATATATATAGTACAATAATCTATAAAGTAGCAAAATTTCGTTGTGAGCACAGTGTATAAACATCATAAATTTTGATTTCAAATTTCCAGTTAATATTTTCATATTTCTTTTTGAACATGTTTCCATTATAATTTATTGTAGTGTATATAATAAAGGAACAAATCTGCGGCGTTATAATCATATGCATTTTTCTTATAGATGATAATGCAGAAAATCATGTTATAATTTAATTTCAGTGTTAAGCGTAGTTTTCGTAAATAGCTTGTAGCAGATCCTTTATACATACGCAAAGATGTTCAATCAATGATACAATGATTGATTATCGGATCGTGATTATAGAATCCAAAACTATGCATATATTATAGAAGATATTTAAAACAATTTAATAAGGTGTATGAAAATACAGAATGCAAATCGAGAATGATAAAATTTTTATCAAAATTGAAAGATTTTGAATTTGATATCCATATTAAGTAGAATGGCTCTATAAATATGATATAGTTTCTATATGGGTCTCCATATGAAAGCGCTATAATCCATCAGCTACTTATTTTTTATGACATTATTCCAATGGGGTTTTGTATTTATATTATTTCAAAACCAAACGAAGTGATATCCAAATAATTCTTTATATAGATACTATTTCCATTGTCATATTAGCTAGTATTTGATTATAATCAGGAGATAATGTCGATTTAATTTATTTTGCATTAATTGCAATACAAGTGCATATTGTTAGATTATACATAGCATGTAAAGACATATAACAATATTAGTTTTTAGTATTAATAACGAAATGATGAAGGTAGCATAATAAGTGAGTATTTTCTGAGCTTTCTGGTATGATGTAATACTATGAGAAATTAGACATGCTTTTTTAATGATTGAAACAAAATCCTAATACAGTCAATCTGATAAAACATTTTCAGAGAGTAAGATTTATTTTGATCGAAAATCTTTGTTAATATAATTCAAGCGTGCAAAATATATGAAAAGATTTTCAGATGGAAAATGACATTTTGAATAAAAGTTTTCAATTTTTATTTGTTGCATTATTATATATTAAATTCATATCTGATAAATATATCTTTTCATACAATTCAATTTGTTGTAATCATAATAAAAATATTTTACGAAATTATAACTCATTACCATTTTTATATCATTTCTTTTTTCAATTTTCTTTGTAAATTTTTCAATACTTTGAATTGTAATTTGAGTTATAGTTAACATTATTCTATTTATGTATAGCATAATAAAAATTCAACTTTATTAGAATCTTCATAAAACATTCCTCTCACAAAAAATTGAAAGTACAATAAAGGTTATTGCCTGAACTATTGTATATATATGACATAAATCTAGTTGAAAATACCCTCAATTCTTTTTTTTAAACGACCACTTCTCAATTTAAAATTCAATTTTACGAAAAATCAAAGTTCTTCATTTTCATATTTAATTCAATGTTTACATGTTTTTTGGACTTCGATGTATGCGTAAACTTCTCAATAAAATTCTTATAAATGCTGACCTTTGGTCTTCTTTTCTTTCTCGATTTAAGACCAAAATTAGACCAGGTTGACGTTCCTACATTTAAAGATAATGGTGCCGAAATTTCTTTCTTCGATTGGGATCGTTGGGAAGAAAGATTCGATCGAGATACAACAATCGCAACAGGAATAAAGAACACTAAGCGTGATTCTTTCGAATATATCGCATGCTCAGTAACTGTATCAGGTACATTTGAACAAAACTTTGCTTTTGGAGCAGGATTAGCTTCAGGTTCTGGCGGCGGCATGTTTTTCACTTTCTGTGCAGTAAACATACGTTACGAGACCAAAAATGTCGATTCATTTGTCAATAACTCCGCAGCTGTTGGCGGAGCAATAGCTTGTTTATATTCACGTATATTCATGGAAAATGCGATCTTTACATATAATAGAGCATACCGTTGGGCCGGAGCTATCTGGTTTCAAGGTTACGAACGCAGGAATCGCTTATGTCCTTTCTTTTGTGAATCAAAAGCCTGCGAATTCAAGAAGAATGTAGCCAATGACCTTGGTGGTGCAATTGTACTTACATGTGCTGCTGACTCTTACTTCGAAAACGTCAATTTCATCGAAAACCAGTGTGGCATCACTGGAGGAGCTTTTTACCTTGTTGAATCTCCTGCGAAGTTCTTTAACAGTGACTTCCTCAAGAACCAAGCCGGCGACACAAATATCAGAAAACTTACAGCAAACAACTTTAATATTAATTCCAAATTGGCCGTGCGCTTCCGTGGACGCGGAGGAGGTGCCATGGCCTTCATATCATACACAGATTACAAAGAGGCAGGTGAAGGCTGCATATTATACACTCAAGGCTGTTGTTTCTTATTAAATAAAGCTACATACGGATATTCTTTCAGGGCAGATGGAACGGGAGCTGGCCACGTCATTCTCTTTGAAGGATTCTGCCTTTGGCACTCTTTCCACGACTGGATGTCCGGAATTGAAGAAAATAATATCGCATACGCGAACAGATACGCAGAAAATGGAACGCTCGAGAAGAATGTATACTATGCATCAGAAGAGACATGCGCAGACGTAGTTTCTCCCGAATACGAACCAGTTACAAGCAGAGCAACAAAATTCAAATTCGCAAAGCCCTCAAATAAAGCTGGAAAGTCATCAGGACCTACATTCATGCCATCACCAACAGATTTCCCAGACAAAGCTACTCCAATTACTCAGCTTCCACTGAGAACAACAAGATCTGCAAAAGTTTTCCCGACAACTCAAGTTTTTCCAACTTTCAAACGCCTGACTGTTCACAGAACCCCAACACCAACACCTCTCCCTTCAACTCCAAGGTCTACTCCGGAGGCCACCGGATTAACTCCATATCCGACACCTGTTCCTTCACCTTCTCCAACTTTGGCTGATACACCAATGGACACACCACTCGAAACACCCTATATGACACCTGCAAAGTCTCCTACAAGGTCTCCAAAGCCTACACCGGCAAATACTCCGGAAACTCCATCTGCCACTCGTACGCCACAACCGTCCCCTTTACAAACGGTTATTCCACGTTCTCCGGCCAGGTCACCGCGAAAAACACCTAAACAGACCATTCCACCGGCCACAACGCCTCCTAACACACCTAGAAGGACACCGAAGAAGACCAAGAAGGTCCTACCAACGCCATCTCAGTCTCCAAGGAAAGGATATTATTATTCTGAGACTGAAACGAAGGTTGAGACAGTATTAGTCACTCTGACAACAACAGACAAGGCAACATTTACAAATGCACTTGTCAAATTCCACAGCAAATCAACTTATTCCAATTCATTGACAACAATTGTTGAACAGATGCAAACAACCATAAAGACATTGACGAAAACATCGACATCAACATTAGTTAAGGCCGAATTAGGCTTCAATTCTGATGAAGAAGGCAGTGATTTGGCAATTATTATTGCAGCCATTTTCTCTGGCTTATTGCTTGTTCTTGTCGTATCAGCATTCATCTGGTTCTTCATCGGATACACGAGATCTTCTTCTTCATCCGATTCCGCCGTTCAAATGGATGAAGTTCATCTTCTCGAGACTCCTGCACCATCTGCACAGACACTGGCTGATGAAAACCCACTGTGGTCAACGTCTGTGATGGGAGATAACGACGATCCATTCAGAAACGACTTTGAAGAAGTTCATGCTGATGGATTCTTCAATGAGAGAGCAGAAACTGCTGATTCTGATAATTAACTTTGAATTTATAGAGATATTTTGTTTATTAACTATAGAATAAAGATAAAAATTATAAAATTTAACTTTTTCATGAATTTTGAATTATATTTTTGAATTTTTAGATATGTTATCATTAGGAAATAGATATTTGATATATAAATTAGCAATTCTTGATTACAGATAAGTCAAAAAGCTTTAACAATGTGATTTAAAAAAAGGATCTCAGAAAAAGGCGACCAGTTTGCATAAATATGGCGTAGATCAATTGAAATTAACATAGAAAATTTGTGTATTGACAAAAATTAATGGAATTTCAGGATATAAATGAGGAGACAAAGAAAAGAAAGTATTTTAAAATGGATATTGAGAATACTTTCTTTTCTTTGTTAACTCATGATTTAGGAACTCAGTTGTTTCCGAGATGATTGGTTTCCTATAACTATTTTCATATTTTGATCTTGAATTAGACTTCGAGCAATTATCCTATTCAATGTGAAATTTTTGTCAATTTGAATGAAAATTGAAAATGTAGAATTTCAATAATTGATAAACTTTTAAAATGATTTCCTCAGTGAATTAACATCGCATCATATTTAGGATGATGCTCTTTCACTAATGCACTCAATATTTACTAGATCATCATAACAATTCAATTACCATTGATACAGAAATTAACTCAAAGGAAACATATGATATCTTAAGAAATATACTTCAATATAACCCCGAAAAAATTAAATGCGATGCACTAGTTTTAAAGGATCTATTTAATATTGGAACATTACTTGAAATTAATGAGCTCAGGGAGTTATACTTAAATCAAGAATTGGCCAAAGAGACAATAAAAATAGATAATTGTATTGAATTGCTTGATTAATATTTCAACATTAATGATGAAACAATGATTACAGAATGTATCAACATTTCAGCATTCTTCTTCAAAATTAATGAAAAGAAACTAATATCAATTTCCAAAATGCTTGGATTCGATATTGTGGATCGAATTCTTAAATATCGTGGACTTTTGAAAAAAACGAAGACTCTCTGGTTAGATTCATTATTTCATTAAATCAAGAAGATAAAAACTTTGCTAATTTGTATAGTTTAATTAATTATGAATTTTGCAGTAAAAATGTTATTGAAAAAATACAAGAAATAGTTTATGAAAATACTTCCAAAGATGTATTCAAATCACTCAGTAACTCACTTTTAAGAATGCGGGATAATAAAAATTATAATTCTCATCATAATGTTGTTGATTTTTTAACAAATAGTAACTTTAAGAATTTGAGTTATGATCAAGCTTATTATTTCTACAAGGATCTTGCAAGAGAAAAATATCCTAATAAGCTATTAATAGCAAGCCAGCATGCGCATAAAGATAGGCAAGCTCCGAATGGTAAAAATTTTATTCATATTGCAGCTGAAGATGGAAATCTCAAATTTGTTCAGTTTCTTACTGAATGTGGTTTCAATATACATGTAAAAGATAAAAATGGAGAAACTCCATTAAGTTATGCATGCATTCATAATCATCTTGAAGTTGTTAAATATCTTCTCTCAAAAGGTGCTGATGCAATTGTATTAAATAACGATTCATCTACTCCTCTTATTAGTACGGCATGGTTTGGTCATTTTGAGATTATTAAATATCTATTATCAGCTGGAGCGAATTTTAAACTAAAAAATCGTCTTAATGAGACTGTTTACACTCATGCATCATCGAGAGGTCATACGGAAATAGTGAAATATTTAGCTTCAATTGGAGCTAATATAGTTCCAAAGATTATTTTTCAATTACCCATCACCACAGCTATTTTCAATTTTGAATTAATATCAGATGAGCGCGTGAGTGACATTTTCGTCTGTTATTTCATTTTAGGAAATTCTTGAAAGAAAAAAAATATCGAATTGAAATGATCTTTCTTGAACCTTTCAGTTTTTAAAATTGAAAACAGAAAACACGAACTAAATATTTCATTAAAGAATATTGAGGCAGCTTGAGGCAGCAAATTTGTCCTTTATTCTGAATCTTATATCAAAATCTTTTAAATCAATTAATATTCGAAAAGGATCATACTTCAGGTGCTATTGCTAATCAAAACCAAAGATTGTTTTTAAAACATTTCATAAAAAATTTTCTAAAAAATTATTTAATTTTAAAATCTAATATACACAACACAAAATTTATATTACAACAACAAAGATAGAGAGTTATGATATTCTATTTCGTTTGCATCGGGAGATTCCATATCCGAATTCGTAGAATGTGTCAAAGAGTCCAAAAACTTGGTCGATTTAACATCCATTAGCCAGTTTGGAAGTATTACGTGGAAGGTGTTGTTTTCCTTTGGAGAGATATACTTGAATTTCTTAAATTCAATTTCTTTATCTTTAGATAAGAAAGCAACAGCTGCGTGGTTCTTTCTTCCACAGTAATCTGTATTGCTAAATACTGTAATGCATTTGTCATCGTTAAATGGCCTGTGCATTCCGTCTTTACACATTTCATGAGAGCGAATCAAAGTTTTGAAGTTATTCTTCTCCAAGAACCTCGAGAGAGCATTGGAGTTGAAGTAGTAACCGCTTCCGCGCTTGCTCTGGATGAAATCTAAAGGAACATTTTTCGGATCGGACCAAAGGAAATCTACGTAAACGTTTTCTCCTATTATGTCATCTGGCTTCTCGTCAAGAGATATGCTATCTATAAGGTCAACATGAGGGCCAATTCCGCCATGGACACAGAAAATATTTTTGTTCACGATGGCGGCGAAAGGTAAGAAGTTAAATGTATCTGTTATCTCGTTATATAGGGTCTGGTTGAACTTGTACATCGCTTCGTCATAAAATCCGTATGTATTTGAAATTCTTTCAATTTCATGGTTTCCTCTAAGCAAATAAACGCAGTTTGGGTATCTACACTTGAGGGCAAAGAGGAGGCAAATAACTTCTAGTGAGTTATTTCCTCTGTCGACATAATCTCCCAAGAATAAATACTTTTTATCTGGGGGATAGCCGCAGGTCTGTAATATACGGATAAGATCATTGGCATTTCCATGTATATCTCCAACTACGTAAAAATCGCCGTCTAAATGGAGTATTGAGTCCTCTTCAAACAATTCTCCTTTTGTTTGCTCTATAAGACTGTATAACATCTCGACTTGAACGGAGTTCTGGAAAGGATGGGATTTATTCTCCACAGAGGTCAAGATGTTGTGGATAAGAGCGTCAATCTCATAAGTTTCCATGCCGAAAATTTTTGAAAAAAACAAAGACCATTCATTATTTTTTTCCCCATAAATTTTTAAAACCGTTTTCTAAATTATTTTAAATTATTCGTAAACAACACAATTAGATGCTTATTTTTGAAAAATTTTACTACCGTTTACAAAAATTTTGCGCGCCAAAATATAATGATCCCTTCATTTAATATTATTTTTGGCGCGAAGTTTAATATTGTCAGTAAAAAAGAATAAAGAACTAATATGCTGATAAGATGTCCATTTCGAATGATTGAACAATTTGTCCCTCCTGAAATGTCTCATTTTTGGATCAAGCCGTTACAGCATAGTAGTGCACCAGGAATCCGTATTAATGAATAGCTCGCAAACATAATAAAAGGTAAGTTGAAATGAAGGTTAATTGAGCATTAGACAATATCAATTTGATTCATAAATTTCATTTGGAGAACTAAGGGATAATAAAATATTCATACAATAGAGACTTAAACAATAACATGATGTTTCGAGTTAATAAATGAGAATTTTTTCAAATCATACAATAAATCACTTACAGGAAGTATCGTTATCAATGGATAGTGCACATATTTCCGAAATGACAAGTTGTACGATGAGCGATATTATTTCAACTCTCTTCACCTCGACAATTTCCTGAGGAAAATGAGAAACCTTAAGTTAGTCAATGAATTTATTTCATATGTATTATATGTGAGATAGAGATAATAATGAAATCGAAATCTCAAATGTTTGAAAAAAATTTTGAATGAAATTTAGTTCTCTTACAACATTAAAATTTATTTGAATTTAGATATGGATTTCGATTTCAAATCCCAAATTTATAGAAACAAGATTAGAGAGAATAAAATTTTTTATGTGGTTTCTTGAAAAAAGTAATTTAAGTATTTCTTTCATGTAAGTGAATGGTTTATTATCTTCAGTCAATTGAAAAAGATTAACAGCTCTTCTAATCTTTAAAAATTTCGTATTCTTTTTAAATAAAAAATAGGATTTAGCAGCATCCATCCTTCTTCTTCTTTGGTACAGGATTGATTGTTTGAGATTTAGGCTGAGGAGCATCATTCTTAACAGCCTTTAATGCGGCTTGCCCAATCTTTTGAAGTAAATTGTCTATATTGAAGCCATCCTTGGCCGAAACTTCGACGTATTCACCACCAACCTCTTCAGCAATTTGCTGTCCTTTCTCTGTTGGGACTTTTCTATCTGGAAGATCAATCTTATTAGCTACAACGAAGAGGGCCGGCATAACACCCGGGGTATTTTGTTTTAAGTTATTAGACCAGAAAATAACTTCGTCAGCAGATTCTGGATCACAAACTGAAAATGTTAAAATAGCAACTTTGGCGGCGCGGAAGTACATAGGTACAAGGTTCTTGAATTTCTCTTGACCTGCTGTATCCCAAATTTGAAGTTTGATAGACTCGCCGTCGATAGGAACTACTTTTGATGCATAGCAAGCACCAACTGTTGATTTAATTGATTGATCAAATTCACCTGTGATAAATCTAGTAACAAGTGTTGTCTTACCAACCATGGTAGCGCCAAGAAGTACGATCTTCGCTTCGGGAGTTCCTTCAGCAGCAGACATTTGAATGATCGATTTACAACAAAGGTGGTTATTTCTCACAAAATAAGATATTGTAATCTATTATTATTATTGATACAAAATTATATAAAAATTAATTATTTTTAATTTTTGATAGTTTTGAAATGTTTACATTTCAGTTGAAATAATACAAAATATAACGCGTATATATAAGTACAAATAAATTTATTTTCAATTCTCACAAAGGTATACGTACTTAAAAAGTGACAAAGTAGAATCTTTTCGATATGATCTTTTAATGCAGAACTCTCCTCCATCTATTGTAAATTGGGATTTTAACACCAAGTTATAGCTAGAATAACACATTATCGAGCGCAAAATGCATTTCGAAGATTTTCAAGACATAGTCAAACACTTTTAATTCTTAGACAATAAAACAAATACCGAATGCTTTAGAAGTGATTAACCAAAACTCGTTTAATCATGAAGATAATTTATTAATCTTTCTAAATAACTCTATTTGAGATTAGAATTAATAGAATTTCTACAATACTTTAAGGTTATTATGCTATAATCATAACTAAGTCTATAGTAGTTTAAAAAAATAGTCGAGACTTTTTTTTTCATATATGAGTCTTTATTTGTTCATTGCGTTCATATATTTATTTTATCACTCTTTGTTATTATATCGAATTAGAGAGAATGGCAATAGCTGCCCAAAAGGCAAACATCTGAAAACATAATGTTTAATGTCAAATATTAGAATTAAATACATTCGCAGCACCATGATCAACTAAGAATTTGATGACATCAATCGAATTTCGTTTAGTAGCAATAGAAAGTGGACAATTGTTAATTCAAAGTATATTTCATAATATAATGATATATATAAAACGAGAATGAATGCCATATAATAATGATAGATGTGAGATGAAAGAGGATTCGATATAATGATGATTGATATGAAATGAGAAAGAGTAAGTTTAATATTAACATCAGCTCCATGATCAGCTAAGAATTTGATGACATCAATCGAATCTCGTTCAATAGCAATAGAAAGTGGACAATTGTTAATTCAAAGTATATTTCATAATATAATGATATATATAAAACGAGAGTGAATGCCATATAATAATGATATATGTGATATGAAAGAGAATAAGATATAATAATGATAGATGTGAGATGAAATAGAATAAGATATAATAATGATAGATGTGAAATGAAAGAAAATACAATATAATAATAATTGATATGAAATGAAAGAAAATACCATAAAATAATGAAAGATATGAAATGAAAGAAAATACCATAAAATAATGAAAAATATGAAAACAAATAGAATAGCATATAATATTGATTTATAAAAAATGTAAAAGAATGCCATATAATCATGATTGATATGAAATGAAAGAGAATAATATATAATTATGATTGAAATTAAATGAAAGAGAATAATATATATTAATGATTGGTATAATGCAAAAGAGGATTCGATATAATGATAATTGATATGAAATGAGAAAGAGTAAGTTTAATATTGACATCAGCTCCATGATCAACTAAGAATTTGATGGCATCAATCGAATTTCGTTTAATAGTAAGAGAAAGTGGACAATCGTTATTCCAAAATAAATTTCTTAAAATAATGATTGATATGAAACGAAAGAAAATTTCATAAAATAATGATTGATATGAAATGAAAGAGAACGAAATATAATGATGATTGATATGAGATGAAAGTGAATGCTATAAAATAATGTTTGATATGAAATGAAAGTGAATGCCATAAAATAACGTTTGATATCAAATGAAAGAGAATGAAATATAATAATGACAGATATTAAACGAAAGAGGATTCGATATAATGATGATTGATATGAAATGAGAAAGAGTTTGTTTAGCATTGACATCAGCTCCATGATCAACTAAGAATTTGATAACATCAATCGAACTTTGTTTAATAGCAATAGAAAGTGGATAATCGTTAAATTAAAGTATACTTCATAAAATAATTATTGATATTAAATGAAAGAGAACGAAATATAATAATGATTTATATGAAAGGATATAGAATTTCATTTAAAAATGATTTATAGGAAAGGAAAGAGAATGCCATATAATGATAATTGATATGAAATGAGAAAGAGTAAGTTTAATATTAACATCAGCTCCATGATCAACTAAGAATTTGATGACATCAATCGAATTTCGTTTAATAGCAATAGAAAGTGGACAATCGTGAATTCAAAATATATTTCATAATATAATGATATATATAAAACGAGAGTGAATGCCATATAATAATGATATATGTGATATGAAAGAGAATAAAATATTATAATGATCGATGTGAAATGAAAGAAAATACAATAAAATAATGATGATTGAAACGAAACCAAATAGAATGTCATATATAGGGTGTCCAAAGGTGTGTTTAGCACAAACCTGAATACTGCGAATAGAAATAAACAAGTTACATATATATAAAGTTTATTTAAATATAATCACCATTGGATTCAATCACGCGTTCGCAGCGATCGATCCAGGCTTGAAAGACACGCTTTAAATCATCATGAGAAAATTGCTCAAATTGCTCTCTTACAAAATTTTCAAGATCATCTGGACTCGCGAATTCGCGTCCTTCAGCTCTCTTTTTTAGCGTGCCGAATAAATAAAAGTCAGAGGGTGCAATATCAGGTGAATAAATTGGGTTTGGAACAACTTTGACATTGTTTTCCACCAAGTAATTCATTACCTTATGACTTTTGTGAACTCTTGAATTATCAAAATGAATTGCAAACTTTTGTTTTTGTTGTTTGGATTTCTCAAACTCATCAGAATTGATAATTTGAGTAAGAACATTGTCAATTAGATACTGAGCATTCATCGTATTAGGTTTTTGAAGAATATCAATTGCGATGATGCCATTCACGCCCCAAAAAACCGACAACATCATCATTGGTGTGTCAATTTTTTTCTTCGGGAATGTTTGCGGATTTTCATCCTTCGGGATCCACATGATTTTGGCTTCTGTTGCATATTGAAACCAAGACTCGTCCCCTGTTACTAAAAAGCGAAACTTCTTGGATTGATACGCACCCAATATAGAGAGGAGCTCTTTCGAAGATTGGACTCTAGATTTTTTTTGAACTGAATTAAGGTTGTGCGGAACCCAACGTGTATACGCTAGTTTGTAGTTCAAATAATTGTGCAGATAATAACTGACTGTTGTACGTGTATCTTTGTCATCTCCTCTATCCTTCTGAGTGATGCTCTTGGGTCTTCATCTAGCGCTTGAAGAATTGCTTTGATTTTTCTTTGATCCGGCGATTTTTTGTCAATTTTTATGATGGGCGCCTTTTTGTTCATGAAGTGATACATCCTAACATGATACGTTACAGTGGAATAGCTAGGAGCATCCATACCGAAGTATTTTACCAATGTCTCGTAGATTTTTTTACAGTCTTTGCATTTTTTTGCAAGAGCGAGGATGTTTTCTTTATGATTCATTAAAAAAATGAAAAAAATCCCGCCAAAATTTCCCGCGAAACCGCCTCTTGTCTCAAAATTCATTTTATATCCCGGCATGGCGCCAAAATACAACATACTCATCATATACATATATTCATATTTTTTATTATATATTTATAATCAGCATATATCTCCTTTAATAGTCTCATATAGAGCGCTGTGCTAAACGCACCTTTGGACACCCTATATTATTGATTTATAAAAAATGAAAAAGAATGCCATATAATCATGATTGATATGAAATGGAATAGAATTTCATATAATAATGATAGACATGAAATGTAATAGAATGCGATAAAATAACGTTTGATATGAAATGAAAGAGAATTCCATATAATTATGATTGATATGAAATAGAAGAGTATTCCATATAATTATGAGTAATTTTAGCATTGACGTCAGCACCTAGAGAAATAAGAATTTTTGCCGCATCAATATTATTATTCATTGCGGCGTAATGAAGGGCAGTCATTTTATCATCATCTCGATAATTGGCATCGATTTTGTTTGTTGATTCAACTAAAAATTTGAAGACATCCGAATTTTGTGACATGCATGAATAAAGTAAAATAGTTCTTTTCCGGAAATCAGTTTTATCAGGAAGTTTTTCGTTTTTGAGAATATCTATTGTTTGAGGAAATGCAGCACACCATGGAACAATGAAGTTTTTCTCTCTTTTAAAAAGAATAAATACAGCTTTCAGGTTTTGGTATCTGATTATATCGTCGAAAATAGTTGATTGGAATAAGTTTTCTGTATCGAAATCTTCATAAGTCAACATATATCTTTCTAAAACGTATTCAAGCATTTCGTGGTTATGTGAACATACAATATTTCTGATACAATCCATGTCCATACCATTTTCCGTTAAACATTTGTTGATGATGTCTGTATTTCTACCAATTACTGCATATTGAAGACATTCTTTTGATATTGTACACTTTTGGTTTGAAATTAAGAAAAAGAAAATGTTCACAGATCCAAAATATGCGCATGCTTCTATTAACGATAATTTAAGACTCTCAAATTCACCAAAGATATTAATTTTTAAAAAATCATCAATTTTAAGTTCTCTTTGAGAAATATAGTCTTTGAATTTTTCAATTTGATCATGCATAACAATAAATTCGACTGAACCCTCCAACGGGAATGATAAATGCGAAAGATTATTAATATCCAAGCCAATATTCTTGAGTATTTCTATATAATTTTTTCCTAAAGCATAATTATATTCAAGTGCTTTTAAAATGATCTCCAAGAGCTGCTTTTTGGAAAGTTGATATTTCGTAATCAAAACATTTTTGATGATACTGCACATGCTTTCAACAGATTCATTATATTTTATGAGAAAAAGCTTTTCCATTGCTTCTATAAAGTCCGAATATGGCTTTGCATAGTCAGAACTCATTTTTTTTACCAACAAAATTTTATGTAAATCATTGAATATATTTTGCATAGTCTCTCGCCGAATTAGAGTCTTTGCGATGGATTTACCTAAAAGTATTAATACTTATCTATTGGTCTTCGAGTTATCGTCGCATTGGTGCTAAATATCAATTAATTGTAAATATGGCAACTGTGTTATTCAGAACAGAGAAAGAACGGAAAAATAACCCCTTTTCATGTTGTTTCTCATTGATTATAGAATGTTGTCAATTTTGGCCTCGGTAGATTTATCCCCCGATACCCAAAATTTTTTGAAATAGATTCCTGTTCTGGCTAAAAATCACCATCACAATATACTTAAATGATTAATTTATTTAGTTGTCGAATGCAATTTAGTTTTAATATGCTTATATTTAGTGTTATATATCAGCTGTTTCACTTCATTCCTGTCATGGCAATTCTACTCAAACAAAATTTGATGTGCTGTAGAATGATTTGATTAACAAATATCCGAGAAAAAACTTAAGGGTGCACTTACGCTCCTATGACATGGCCTTCAATCCAGATGTTTAAGGTTAATTTTCAATGACGCTTCACGCTAGTTGTCAAAAATTTGAATCAAAGTCAGATGGGCGTAAGTGCAGCCTTAAATCGTCGCTAAAGATAAAATATATTCAAAGTTGGATGTGCTTGTCTGAAAAAGATTTAATTTCCAAACATCAAATTAAAGATGTCATGCATGTAAAGCTTGATGCGTTTGTGGTTGAATGATTTGATTATCAAATATCAAAAACAACTTTAATTCTCATTAAAGATGACATGCATGTAAAGCTTGATGTGTTTGTTAGAAAGATTTAATTACCAAATATCAAAAACAACTTTAATTCTCATTAGAGATGACATGCATGAAAAGCTTGATGTGTTTGTTAGAAAAAGATTTAATTACCAAATATCAAAAACAACTTCAATTCTCATTAAAGATAACATACATGTAAAGCTTGATGTGTTTGTTAGAAAAAGATTTAATTACCAAATATCAAAAACAACTTTAATTCGCTTTAAAGATGACAAGAATCCAAAGTTTGATGTGTTTGTGGTTGAATGATTTGATTATCAAATATCAAAAACAACTTTAATTCTCATTAAAGATGGCATGCATGTAAAGCTTGATGTGTTTGTTAGAAAAAGGTAACTGAAAATTTAAAATATCAACACTTTATAACATAAATAACAACAAAAATTCTAATATAACTTAGACTGATAAATATATGATTCCTCATTCTTCTCTATTAAGTAATGATACAATCTACTCAAAGGATTATGATATTTTGTCATGATACATCTATGATAAACCTCGAAATCTGAGTATCTTTTAACAATTGCATGTGATTTTCCTGTTTCTGCCAAGAATTTTTCACCTTTTTCGAAAATTGTCCCGTTAAAACATAAAACAGTACGTCTGTCTATATCATTTCTCCAATTCCCATTCTTTATAGCATACATGATATCATGTAGCCCTGTTTTGAACAGATAATTGGATACATTTGAGACAATTGATCCGAAATCGTCATTGTTAATGGAATACAACCACATACCAAGTGTAAGAGCTGATGCAATAGCAGGATTATCTGTTTTCCACCTGCTAAAGAAAAGAACAAAACATCCTGGATGCATATAAAGACAATTAAAGCAAGCAGAGCCTGCAGCAGATACATATAACAAGGTTGACGCAAGAAGCTTTGCAGCATTGTTCATATTGAATAAAACTTCAGGCGGATGGACTTCCCAGTTAATTTCTGGATATTCTCTTTTGGCAATCATCACAAGCTTGTCTAAATTCTTCGCGGAACCCCAGTTTGTCAATGGTTTATTTATAATGGTATATCTGGTCGGTTTTATGGAAGATAAATTATATTTTCTAAAAATTAAATTGTGAAGATCAATCCAAGCGACATGTAACCCGTTAATTCCAAATTTGCTAACGGAGATGTATAAATCTATCGCATGAACATACGCCTTAGGAATTTGATGAATTCGTTCTGGACTAAAACCTAAGAATGTTAAGTACGTTCTGGCTTGCTGTTCGTCAAACTTAACGTAAATATCTGCATCTTGTATGATTTCAGATGGAACAATCATGATTCCACACACCATATCTTGAACAAAGTGGCCATACTCAACATGATAAGAAAATCCGACTACGGCCTTCTTTACAATCAATAGTGTATGATTAATTCCTTCTGGCATTTGATTTCCGTCGTGTTTTCGACTTGGCTCGTAAAAATTATCTGGAGTAGCTACTCCATACCATGAAAAATCTGCTCTCGTGAAGTGTTGAAATACAACATGCTGAAAACCAAGTACACTTGGATCATAAAAATTTCCTCTTTCGAAAGGCGATGCTTGTTTCTGCTTTCTAACTCGTAGATAGTTAGTATTGGGATATATAACTGTATAGTTATCGAAAATTTCTAAATTTTTCACTTTATAGTAATGTGATTTTTCCTGATTTAAGTTTGGATATAATTTTAAGTACATGTCGAAGGAAATCCAAGGCTCAAATATATCAACAAGCAAAATCGCTGCAATAATTCCTGCAAATGTAAATGGATATCGATACTTGGTCCTGAAGTTCTTTCTTAGCATTTTTTACAAAAAAATACGGAGATGGATTTTTAAAAAAATATAGCAATAGAATTGTTTCGAGTGGGGGACAAACTCGCCCATTGTCACTTTTCATTAACCTTAAACTTGTAATTTTCATTATTTTTAATTAACCTTATTTCTTTCCCAATTCCTGATTTATTTTATTCACTTACTATTAAAAGCCACATTTTAATAAAATATAATAATTTATTTATAGCATTTTTTACTATACTGTAATAAAAAATTAATTATAATAAATTAAATGTTTATTAAATCAAATGTTTTCTTTGCAATAATATTTTTAATGTTGAGTAAACAATGTTGGGATCAAGTGTATCATTTTTCAGACCTTTCTGAACAGCTTCAAGCATACTGATGCATTCGACTTTTTTAAATTGTGTCATTTCTTCGAAATCTCTTGTGACTTTTTTGATAACTCTAACACTTCTCTCTGAATCCAGACCTTTAATTTGCAACTTAATCAGGAATGAAGGAACAACACTGGAATATAACTCGATGACAAGTTCATCGAAGTTAGTATACCTATCTTGGGTACGGAGGCACTGCGCGCCTCCTTACCCATTATATGTGAATTTGACACTTTACAAAACCGCTAATGTATATTTTACAACACAAACGACAACACTAACTTAACCTTAAATATTTACAAAGCCGCCAACCACTTCACCTCACTAACATTTTCGCTAACGACTTCACTAATGAAAAAATAAACGTTCTCACTAACGTTCCCACTAATGTTCTCATTTACAAAAGTATTGCAGCGCTTCCCATTGCTGTGCTTCACACAATAGTTCATATTCTTCAGTATCGCTGCTGTCACTCCAATCGTCAGAGTCAAAATCACTGTCAAAATAAATGTATGTAAGTTTTGACAAAGCTAATGAAACACGCTTACCGTTTGTATCTATTGCTTTTATATATCTCCCATTATGTTTGTTGTCGTAAACGCTCAAACTAACTTTACCCTTTCTCCCTCGTATCTGATAGAATGTATTTTCACGAGGAACGAAGAACAAATTCTTGAACTCATGACCGTTGTAGTTTGTTATCTCAATAGTTTTCGTCATTTATATAAAAATAAAATAAAAAATAAAATAAAAAATAAACTTAAAAATTAATGATATCACCACTCCCACACGTATGAAAACATAGCACAAAAATAAATTTAGGTGAAGTGGTGAGATCTCACCTCTTTTTTCACCTGTTTTTTCACCCTGTTGAATTCATTGCTTTATAACTCTCTTCCTTTCTCCAACTCTTCTAACTTCTTCTTAAGTTCAGCAATGTTGTCCTCATGAAGTTTAATCTTTCTCAAAAATTCCTTCTTTATCTAATGGTTGCTTTATCTTCTAAACTGAACTCTACCATCCTTCATAGTATGAATGTAAAAACCTTCTGGAATAGTTCCTGATTTAATGTATTCTACCAAAAACTTTTGTTTCATTGCTTCAGTGACTTTATTTGTCATTTCAATCAAATAAAAATTTAATATTAAATAAAAATAACGTTATTTTTTCAGTAAGGAAACGCAGGAGTTTTACGATTTATTTGAGGAGTAGGTTCTGGTTTAAATGTTGGAGTCGGTTTAGGAGTTGACTTTTGAACAGGAGTTTGTACTTCCATAGGTTCAGGAGTCATTGAAGGTTTTGCTTGTGAAGGCGTTGGTTTTGGCGAAGGTGTTGGAGTTTGTTTAACTTCAGCTACTTCAGTATTATTTACTAAACATTTGCTTTATTTCTTTTCAACATCATAACTGCTCCTGCTGTAGCTAGCAAACCTAGTGGGAGACCATATCTTATATAAGGACTTGACCAAATGCTATTTTTGACAGGAGCTGGTGGAACAACCTAACCTTGGTGAGACTGCTCTTTGCCATTGTGCAGCTCGTAAGAAATATTCAATAGGTGCTCCATAATCGTTTGGTAAAGTTTGTTTCATAGATGGTGAAGGTTCACGAGAGCTTGATGAAGAACTCATTTATAAGCTTTAAAAATAAACGTTCATCCTTTATTCCTCACTGTCGTCCGTAGCTAAGTTATAGTCATCTAATCTATTATGGGGATGCCATTAGCACGCACCTGAATGGCAAAGCAACAATCCCTCATAAATCCAATAAGTGGCTTTGGCACATTTTCAGTTGCTAGTTCAATAGGTCCTTTAACAGACAATTTGTATGTTATTGGAGCAGTAGATGTTTGACCTTGCTGAAGCAAAAGTCCACTTCTGTTGGAAAACCACATAAGAAATGTGTGTTGTCATAGCTATCCCATTTATGTTCCACACTACCATCATCCACCAATGACCTTATAACATCTTCATTAAATCCTATCATATCATTGTTTGTATTGCAAGCGTTCGCAACCATTTCATAAAATACAGGTCCATATGATTTTTCAGGTTCTGCAGGCATATTTCCATAAGCTCCCATGGAAAGCTGAAGATATTTAAACTTATGGTTCTCAAAATTAACATAATAGTTGTCTTTCTTTCTAAATAGTGCCCAAATACTTTTAACATTAATAGGCGTATAAGCTGCTTAAATGTTGCACTTGAACTATCTGTATTCTTTGAGAATGAACCCGTCCATAGGAATCCAATCCATAACTTTAACAGGAAAACATAAAGCCTCGTTTGTATAATGTTCTACAAGTTCTGTATAAATGTTAGGGTCTAAAGAGAATGACTTTGGATGAATGAAACATTCATTAAAATCCATCTTTGTTCGAAATAGTTGCTGGGTTACAGTTGTAATAGTAACTGTTCCACTAGCTTCTACTGCCTTCGTTATCATAGTGGAATGGTTCATTCCATGGAACAAATTTATTTGTCGGTGGATTTGAATCTGAACAAATGCAACTTAAGAGTTGGATTGAAAGCAATGATATCATTTACAGATATAGATTGCATTGTAAGGCGTCGCTACTGAACTTTACTTTAAGCTGAAGTTTCCTGCAAAACTGGAATAAATCGAAAGCTTCTAATGGAAGGAATCTTCTAACAGGAATTCTTAAACGAAGCTTAAAATCAAATGATTTTCCTGCTGTAATTGACCACTAACAATTTGTCCTGTTCTGCATGTTCCCGAATGACTCCATACATCTTCATGTCGAGTCTTTGAGAAAACATCTACTTTCTTTATTTGTTCGGTAGTTTGTGAGTTTGAAGTTATATATGCTTCTTCTCTTGCGTTGTCTTGAGAATATACGATACGACCATTTGCAAGGATTTGATATCCAGCAACTGCATAGAAAGCGTCATCGAAACCAATCCAAAATCCTGGTGGGTTTGTTTTATTGGAACCTGAACCAATTTCTTTATCTACAATAAATTGACCTTCCATTTTATACGTAATGAATGTATTGTAAAGGTCCAACATATTTTCACCAGGAGGTGAGAGATTGAATGTTACCCATGTGTTATCTTTAGCAGTTCCAGGTTGTGATGGAATCTTTGCGTCAGAATATTTTCTATTAGTGTCACCAATTTGAACTGCATTGTCTATGATATCGAAATATGAGCGAATCTGATGAATATGCTCTGCTGGAGTAAATTCGTTTAGCTGTTCGTTCTGCATGTATTTACTTCAGATAAAAATATCTATTTACTTCATTATTCTCACTCTTCTTCTTGGCATTCGTGGTGGAAGTTGTTTCTTGACATTTTCAATGAACTGTACATTCTCTTTTGTCTCAACTTCTTTCACTGGCGGGTCAGGATTCTTTGACTCGGTTTGTTTTTCAATGAAATTCACGAACTTTGCAATAAGCTCTTGGTTCGTTATTGAAAGTACATCTGGCTTCTTTTCTTCTGGTTCTATTGACTTTTCAGTTTGAACAGAAGGCTTAACACGGGCTTCGCCCTCGGTGCCATGCACCTTAATGTTGTCGCTTTCTGCATTCGCTAATGGAACCTTTCTTTTTCTTACGTATATTTTACCATCTTTACTCTGACTTACGTAATAGAAAGGATGTTGTATTCCTCTTGCGTCATTTAATATAATAGACTCTCGCTCTGATTTTGACAAGCTCATTTTACATCGGTCAAAGTTTTAATTTTGTTTTTTATCTGCAGTCAAATGACTCAGACAAGCCCTACGGACAAGACCCAAGGGGTCATAGATGTTGAAGCATTGAAGAAAGAAATTCGTGAGCAAATTTTATCCGAACTGAAGGAACAAAAACAAGAACAAAAGCCAGAGAGACCAAAGAGAAAACTTAGTGAAAAACAACTTGCTGCATTAGCTGCTGGAAGACAAAAGAACCCAAGACTACTGGCGAAAAAGCTAGAGAAGAAGCTGAAGCAAAAGCTAAAGAAGCTGAAGCAAAGAAAGAGTAAATGTGTTATTTTTATCGGAACTAAATGTATAGACAAATACCTTTATCTTTGCGTTCAGTAGTGAAAACCCTGACGTCAAAATAAAGGGAACAGAGTAACGTTTAAGTTTCCAACAGACTGGATTGTGAACATAAATGAAGAGAAGTACATTGGCATAACAAATATGTATATAACACGTGCTTTCAGAAAGGTTGACTTTATACTTCAAGTCGAGATAGAAAATGACGAACAGTCTTTAAGCGCCCAAAACATTCACATATACAAATACTTTAAAGACGATACAACATTGCAACAATGTATGACTTCATTTAATGAGATGTTCGAGAAAAAGTTTAACATTGAAGTACAAACTTTACAGCCTTTACGTGAGTTTCTTGCACAACTGAAAGAAAAAGGTAGTCGGCCACAACTTATAGACTTTCATTATGAATTTAATGAAAATGAAGATGGAACACATGACTGTCAGTTTGTTGTATTCTCACCATTCAATGAAGTAGCTAAAAAGAAAGAAAATCCATTACGTATAAGATTTCAAATCTCTGAACCAAGTGATGATTTCAAAAATGTTTTCAATTATGATGCAATGCTTCCGAGGAAAAATGAATTTTCAAAGATTGTAACACCTGGTATTTGGGATAGAAAGCAAGCTATTCTTTTCTCTAATATAGCCAAAGGCGTTGAAAATGAGTTCATTGGTCATACAAGAACTTCACCACTTCCTAACCCTAAATACTATAAATTAACTGGCTTCAATCGTGAGTTTTGGATAGACATGTTCTCCACTCATGACCATAACTGCCCAGTGTTCTTACCTCCAGACCATAAGGACTGTCTCTACATTGAAGCACAACTCTTAAACTCACCATCGCAGTATTGTAAAATCTACGCTAGTTTTATTTTTATCACGAATGACCTCATTCATGACCTCATTCATGACCTCATTGCTGACAAAAATAAATGACCTCATTCATGACCTCATTGCTGACAAAAATAAATGACCTCAGAACTTCAACTTACGAATAAAGCTTGTTTTAGTCGTTATTGAGAAGTTAAACTTTTCAGCAAAGCAAGGACTAGAAGACTTACACAAGTCGAATCCAATCTCTTGACCATCATGAAGTGCTTTGTAAAGTTTCATTAAACTGAACTCAGAGTCTTTGTCATATGTTCCAACAGGTATGTGAATGTTCTTATCTTCATTGTAATAGCATTGTATAGCTTCAGGAAACATTTCATTAGCTGTTAAAGCAAGGACGTCTTGTTTGACACCTTTACAACGTGCATGGAATGCAACTTCATTTAAATCGTTAGTGAGTAAGTCTATGTAGGTCTTCTTTCCACAAAATATTGACTTGTATGCTAAACTTTGTTTTCCAGGTGTTATTTCTGCGAAGTCAGAATGAAATTGACCAAGGTTCTTTCCTATAAGTTCGCGACCGTATCTCTTCTTAAACTCTGCTGCAAGCTTTGGTATGTCTTCATTGAAAATATGCATGCTATCACAGTCCTGGTAAAATATTTGAAGTCCCATATCTTCAGCAGTACAGAATACTTCATTCATAATACGTTTTGACATAGATAGAATATTAACACCAAGTGGACAGAAGTTAAAGTGTCTGCAAATGCTTTTCGTTAGCTTGAAAATAGTTTTATCTGAACCATCCAAACCTTCGAACTTCACTATATGGTTGTAGTTTCTGATGGCATATCTTATAGCATCTTTGTCATTTACTATGGTTATTTTTGACTCAATAGGAGATAGAATAGTTTTGCCATAAATACTGTTCAGAATGAGCTTTATATTTTCTTGCAAAGGATTTCCTTCTTTCTTATACTTTAACCTTAACTCAAACAACTTCTTTACTTCATCTCTTATTCTAATATCTCTGTTTCCATCGTAATAGTATCCTTGCAACACTTCACATTTGACACCTTGATATTTTATGAGGTCTTGTAATGTTATATGGTCAACATACATTAAACAGCAAGTGTTTGAACTTCTGGGAACGTTAAGTTCTGGATTTAGTTCAGGGTCACAAACTATTAAAGGAAAGTGTCTATGTATTCCAATCTCTGTTATCTTAATGAGAACAAAGAAGCCAGACATAAACTTTTCACCAATGGGTTCCTTTTGGTCGTCATCGAATAAATGTCTCATGAGATACTCTGTGCTTAACATTTCTTTCTTCATAACCTTTGGAATACCTTCTAAAGTATAAAGTCTTGCTATAGCTGATGGATATAATGAAACAGCGTCGAAATCAGCAATGAGTTTCTTTTCGCTCTTTTGTTTCATTTTATCTGACAGCATACATCTTCCACCTTGAATACAGCGTGAAATAAATTCTCTTGGTTTATTTGAGAGGTCATATAAATTTCCATTCGGGAAGTACACTCTGTTCTCAAATAATTTGTTAGCAATTGAACAAATACTAACGTAGTCATAAACGTTTAAATCAAATTCTTTCAATATGTCATTGCGGAACTTAACAAAACATTCTCTTAAAATCCTTACATCTTGTTTGCAATAAAATGAGCTATACTTTTCTAAGTCGAAGTGGTTTTCATCTATTCTGCAGTTTTCGATTAAATCTATGTTTTTCATGAACGTATCAATATCTTTTACAAACTTACACGCTTCAGAAATGACACCAGTTCTGTTGTCATTTGCTAACAAAACACTGCTGTAGTAGTTATATGGAAATACTTCTTTCGGTCCTGTTTGTAAGTTAAACATAGCAGGAAATAGTTTAAGCTTCTTATTTATAACACTGTAAGAGTCTTTTATAATAATTGCCCTTCCTTTATATAAGCCAGTTATTTGCATTGTTCGTGAACCTTTAATGATGGGAGTTCCTTTCACTTCTGTCATGTGTCTTAAGATGAAGTTTATATCATAACTGAGGTTATGGAAATATATTAAACTCTTGTCAGGAAGTCGTTCCAAAAATTCTGTTGCACAGTTCTGACCCCAAATGCTTTCACTCACTGAACCATCTTCACTGTCATAACAAATGTTAAAGGCTTTATGAACTCCATCAGTGCTACACTCAAAGTCAGCAAAGAAAACGTGCTCAGGAATGAACTTGCACTTATTTTTATTTACTTCTTTTGGCTCAGCTTTCTTCTTCAGTTGTACACAATACTTTGGAGCATATGTCAAATCTTTAAATGGTGCAAGGTTCTGTTTATATAAGTCAGTCGTATATGTGAAAAGTTCTCCATAAGAAATAGGTTCGAAATATTTGCACTCCCACAATGTTTTCATAACATCCCATAACGGTGTTGTTCAATCATAACGAACAATATATTTGTTCTCTCTCTTTGTATAAATCTTCATCTGTTTCTCAATGTTCATTCCACCACAAGCTTTGAGAATTTCTATATAGTTGCGAATGAAATATGTTGTCATTGGTAATCTTTCATTTAGCATGTAATGGTCTTCAACAAGAAGTAAGTCAATAGTTCTAACAGTTTCACATTCTTTTGGTATGTATCTCTTTATTTCATTATGTCTTGAGTCATTGAAGTAACCAATGGTAACATTAAATGCTATACCTGTTGCATCAGAAATTTTTTGTACTTTACTTTGAGGAAAGTCTCTAACACGAATGACTTCTCTCATGTGGTCAATAGTTTCTTCATTTACTCCAGCCTGAATGCAAGCATAAACGAAGCAGTTATCTTCTGTCATAAGTGTTGCAGTTCTTTTGTTTAATTCATTGAAGATTTGGTAGCGTTCAAGATTTATAGGTAATGTGCAAAGATACTTCCAGAACTGACCGCTTCTCTTCTTATAAAACTTCTTTTCACCATTATCTTTCCAAAAGCTTTCTATAAGTGCTGGGTTTCCTGTTTGCTTAAGAGCTTCCAAAATGGCTTTCTGGTCATTTGTCAGTGTGCTTTCATCTCTATATGGTCTCTTTTTTGGTTTGCCTTTCTTTACATCTGACATCGTTAAGCCTTCATATTCTGTTAAATCATACATCTTTATTTCGGTAAGATTCTTTATGTTTGTCAAGAAGAAGTCATAGTGCATTTCAACAATACCTGCAGCATTTGCTTCTATCTCTGATATAAAGTTCTCCTTCAAGAGCTGATGTAGTAATGTTCCAATATTATTGAGGTTTAACGTAGAACATTCATACTTTCCACCAAGTTTATAACATACCATCCATCTCTGTTGTGAGTTTATTTTAATTTTCTCTAAGAGTCTCATGAAAACCTTACCGAAATGTTTGTGTAAGTAGTCTCTGTTTGGTTCATCTAAAGCTTCGATGTTAAAGTCAATGAGTCTATTGCCTGACTTCACATTTCTCTTCCTATTCTCTTCATCTTTCTTTAACCATCTCTCACCTTCTTTTGGTTTGTCGTCAATGGAACGAATGACATCGTTAGCTTTGCGAACTTGTTCTATAGCGCTCTTAAACATCTCTCTTCTCTGTTGTTTCAGTGTGTCGTCTCTTCTTCTTGTTTCACCAACGTTTGCATTTGTTATGTCAAACATTTCTCTTCTTACTTCATGAGGTACTGAACGTCTATGATATAAGTCAATAGCAACGTCATTTAAAGGAAATGCTCTTGCATGGACTTCGTCCTCGCCGCGTTGCGGCTTTATGAACTCATGAATTCTATCATAACTTATTGCACCATTATAGTCATTGAGGTCAGCGAGTGCTTTTTTGTTTGTTGCGTAATGCTTTGCAACATCTATATTAGCTTCTGTAAGAAGTTGTTTTATTTCCGAGTGTTCTAACTTAGACAACTTCCGATACATCTTTAGTAGGAAATAAAAAAATATTTTTTGAAAAAATTAGATTAGATTTTTTTAAGTTATTTTTCAAAATAATTTAATATTTTTATTTTAATGAAACACATGCAAGATTGCAAGTTCTTTTCATACAATGCTCTCGCTACTGCCATCAAGAATGAGTTCAATAATGCTTCAAATGTTAATGTTATCTTTAACAAGAAGTTTGTGAAAGAATCTAAGTTTGGTCAGTATGTCAGACCATTAGCTATCGTCATTGACCGCAAACGTTATACTTCACAAGAGTTAGCAGTAGTTTTGAAACAAAAGAGTTTCTTCGTGAATGTCAAAGATACTCATTATACTGTTATAAAGAACTCTAATATTGACTTCTTCAGTATTGCTTTAAATCTTTCCGAACAGAAAGAATATAAGAAGGGTGAAACAAATGTGAAATATTATCCTTCATCTCTGAAGACAATAACGAACAAAGATGTTATACAGAAATTCTTACCAAAGGTTGAAGAAGCTTCTATTGACATTGACGAAGGAAGTGAAATGGTTGAAGAAATAGACCCTGAAGCTATTTAAGCAAAAATATATTTAGGTGAAGAGGTGAGATTTCACCCGTTTTTTCACCTCTTTTTTCACCTCATTCTCTCTTCGTTAATGTTGTCGTGACTTCTTCGTTAATGTTGTCGTGACTTCTTCGTTAATGTTGTCGTGACTTCTTCGTTAATGTTGTCGTGACTTCATTCTTCCTCTTTGAAGTTATCGAAATATTCTGTTATTTTTTCCTTCAGTAATGTTAAGTCTTCTTTGAATGTAAGTATTGTGCAACCTTTGATATCATAGTGTGTTTGAGGAAGAGTATTTTTGACAATTTCCTTTATTTGCTCATTCGGTGTCATTGAAATCGGTAAGTTTTCACGATAGAACCAGTTTCTGTCAGATTTATATATCTTAGCTAAGTCATAAAAGCTCTTGTTGTTTCTTCTGACTAAATGTAACATAACCATATCTTTATCTTCTTCATTTTCCAACTCTTCAGTATAAATCATATACTTATAACTCTTTTCCTTTCCTTTTGGTACCGAACGCGGTATTCTTTTCTGTATGCTTTTGTCTTTGGATTCAATGACTTCATCTTTTGCTTGAAGTTTCTTTTCCATCTCTCCACGTTCTGCTTTATATAGTTCATCTAACATCATGAAAATATAACAAGCATAACGAGGTGAAGCCCACATTGCTACAGCATTTACTAAAAGTCTATGAACATAATAACCTTTCAAACCAGGAGCCAAATTCTTGCGATTTTCGTACGGAATCTCTTCTCTCGGTTTTCCGAGGGAAGCAATCATATGAGGAAATTCTTCTAAAAGTTCTTTTGTCTGTTGGTTTTCAAACCAATGATATGCTTGCTTTGTAGAACGAAGAGCATTCATTATACTTTGCATTTGGTACATGTCATCTTTGACTGAACGAATGAGTCTCAATTGTTTGTTATACTGTATGTATTCGTATTCTTCATTTATGGCTTCATGAACGATAGCAATTGTTGTGTTCTCTGATGTTGACATTACTGTCTTTACATACAAAATAAAAAATTTGTTAGAAAAAATTAGCGTTATTTTTTCTGAGATAAACACTATTTCTTCACAACATTAAATTTTATCCTGTATGAAATGACTTTAAAAAGATTATTGACTGACTTCGAATACTATCTCATTGACGCACTGACAGACCCTCAAAACTGTGTTGAAAGTTCTTTAAGCTTTAAGATTGAAGGTACGACGCATTTTGTCTTCACTTACGTATTGAAAGAATATGACCGTTATCATAACGAAGTGAATCAAACACTAATAAAATTTGTAGATAAAAAATTGGTTAACAATGAATATTTTAAACGTGAAGACCCAAACACTGCTGGAGATGATGAAGAATACAGACAAGTTATTGAAAAAAATAACGCAAGATTAGATGCAATAGAAAAGAAGTTTAATGAATGTCTTACAAACACGTATGAATATCTTATGCGGTGGGAAGCCAGATGGAAATAAATTTACGTCAAATATGCAATTTATAAAATCTTATGTCGATAGGCTACGTAGCACAGTGGTCTAAGGTGGTGTTATGGAGGGGTCAGGGTCTGTGGTTCGAACCACGACAGCGCCGTATTTTCTTATTTTCTTTGTTTGTCTTGTTTGTCGTGAATAAAAAGTGTCATAAAAGTGCTCTATCTTCCACGGGAATAAATAAAAAATTTACTTTATTTCTTCTTTATTTCTTTGTTCCCGTGGAAGAAGGGTTTTGCTGTTTTTTCTCAGCCGAAATCAATGATTTTTTCATTTTTGGAATCCTTAGCGAATGAGGAATCTTTTCTCTCGTGGAAGCTTTGACCAAAAATATAATTGAGGTGAAGAGGTGAGATCTCACCCGTTTTCTCACCTGTTTTTTCACCTCTTTTTTCACAAGCGTTTTACATGAATTGTACGATGTATATTTGAAATCCTAAACAATTTCGTAGCTTCTATTTCTTCTTTTAGTACATCGAATGTTTTAATCATGCCGAAAGTCTCTTTATATTTCTTCTTGACGTCAGACAGAAGGAAATCTTCTGCTGTTGGATAGTTTTTATTAAGAAATGTCAACATATCCATTTTATCTTCTGCTGGCTTTTCTGCTTCTTTCTTTAAGTCTGCATAGTCGTTTCGCATTCTTTCTATCTCTTTGACTGAGTAGTTATATTTTCTTATTGCTGCTTTACATTTTGAACATTGCGGATTCATTTTTGCGTTATACAATGAAATAAAACCAGCTAGAACAACTAAGGCGTCAATGGTTTTCTTTAACTCAAAAGCTGCTGGTTTTATCTGTTCATTCCATACTTTACCTCTTCTATCTTTATCTCTTATCTGCCATACACATTTTGCAACTAATGAAACAAAGTTATCGTATGTCTTAAATTCTTCGGATTTGTAAAGGTCAGAAATATTTTTATAAACCATGTCGCAATCTTTGTCCATAACTTTATGGTTGCAATGAAAACCAAGGAATTCATAATTTACTTTACGTATGAATTTCTTAATTTCTACTGAGTCAGTTGCTTTGACTTCAATTTCGTCGAATTCGGGAATAGTTAGTTTTTGCTGCTGAAATTCAGGTAGTTTCGGCAAATGGTCGATGGGGTCCTCCATTTCATAAAGATATTGTTCATTTGTTTCATCTTTCACACTACAGTCTAAATTACTTGTTAAAAGTTCTTGCTTTATCTTCTGGATTTCTGTTTCAAAAGTATATGAAGAAGGAATAAAGCTTTTCATCTCTACCAACATTGACGTAGGATTCATGACTAGCGAGTTTGGTGCTGTAGTTGTTTGAATTGTTGTTGTGCCGATTGTTGAAATCATATCTTTTATACAAAATAAAAAAATAAATAAAAATAAAACTAACTTTATTTTTTCTATCTTAAGGAAATTCATGAAAATTCATGAGACCCAAAGGGTCTGAGCCGCTAAGCGGCGAGGGTGAAAAAAGAGGTGAAAAAACAGGTGAGATCTCACCTCTTCACCTAAACATTATTTTTGGTGTAAATTTATGAAAACATTAATAATACATGACTGTTCTCATTCATGTCTGATTTACATCTAATGAAAAAGTTTAGAAGAATTTTCTTATTCTTTCTGGCTTATTTTTGTCTTTCCAGTACTCCCGCTCTAATGGTCCCAGATGTGTTGGCTTTGACTCTCTCAAGTTCTTAGATGGTATAACATCTTCAACGCCTCCTTCATATCTTACTTTATAAGTGTCATCGTTTATGTTGTAGCCAAGTATTTCAATAACCACTCCTCGCTTTGCTTCGTCAATGGTTTCAGCAAGTTTGCCATTACTACTTTCAACTAATTTATGTCGAGGGTAAAACGCAATAGAGTCGTCAGCAGCTTTTATAAGATATCCATTACCTTGCGTAGAGTCTACGATATAATAGTTTCGACTTAACCTTAAACGTTTCTTTGTCAACGGTTTGTCGTCAAGAACTACACGAACTTTTGTACCAGGAATGAGGGTAAATTGTGTTGAATTTCTGATATTTTGTGTTTGGCTTCGTTTCTTTTGTATATACTTTTCTTCTTGTTGTTGTGTCATTGAATTTGGTGTATGTCCTGTTGTAGAATGTGTTGAGGAATTATATACTTCGAGAAAATGTTTCATTGTTTCTTCGGTAAAGTCTCGCTCTTGGTTTAAATCTCTGAGCGTTCTTATGAAGCGGTTTATGATGCCGAGTATGTTATGGTTATGGTCTTCAGTAGTGTAGTGAGTTATGTTATGCTTAATGAGAAAATCTGTGATTTCATTGCTGAGGTATGCACTGTCTTGGTCTGATGTTAAAGTACTTGGGCTATGTTCTGCTACAAACTTTTGTAAAACTCTTAACACTTCACGAGTTCCTTTATTTTTCATTATATACGCAAAAGCTTTACGAGTGTTAACATTAATGAAGATGAGGAATGGTTTATGTCCTCCTTTTCTGCTTTGAATGAGAGTGTCAAATTGGTATGCGTCAGGAGCGTTGGAGTAAATTGGTAAAAAGTAGTCGTAAGGGTTTATTTTTGTTTGATGTACAACATTTTTGTCAAAGAACCTTTTCACTTCAGCTCTGTTAGTAAATCCCCAACTCTTTGCAGCTTCATTGAACTTCTTAAATGACCTCCATGGATGTTGTTCGAATACTTCTTTCAAGCTCATTTATGTAAAGTTAAAGATTTTATTCAAGGCTCAAGCGCGTTCAATGAACGCGGTACCATGCGAATATAGTCACAAATGGTGGCATATAATCTGCACCCGAGCCTGTTGGATTTGTTGTGAAAGTGTGTGAATGATTTCCTGTGGTTCCACAGAAAATACCTGCGCTTGAATCTACTGGGTCACTTGAAATATCATATCTATTCATTCCCTGTCTATCCGAACCTGCTGCAAGATTTGTATAACCTCTTTTTGTAATTGAATGTGAATGATTACCTGTTGTGTTTGTAGTTCCTGTATGAGTGTGCGGTGGAAGGTTTGCTTCTTTAATTTTCTTCGAACCTCCTGTTTGCTTTGAATATCTAGCACAGTATAAGAATTTATCTACAATCTGCTTCCACGTACCAAAACCTAAAACTGTTTCTGGATTTGTTGAGTTCATTGACGTATAAATAGAGCCTATAGGATATAATGTTTGAAGTATTTCAGTCTTTAATGTTTGAAGCTCTGTTTTGTCTGCTTTCTTATCATATAAATCTTGAGCAGTGAATTTAACATTATTTTCATCATCCATGACATAAACATTTTTACAGCTAATTTCTTTCTTCGTTGTTATGTTTTCATTCGATGTTAAACCTTGTGGAAAGTTAGGAGGTTTATAATATAATGCATCCCCACCAGTTCCGCCAACCGTTCCTTCAATACTTTCTATAGCAACAGTTGAGAAGGAGTTATGTGTATGGTCTTTATCTGCTTTTTTATCTAACATTGCTGGTAGTTTATATGTTTCAAAGTTTCTGACATGACCTTCAATGTTCATACATTTACTATTTAAGGAGTTTAGTGTATCTTTTACGCTTGTACTTGGATTCTCTAAAGGTGCACTTGAACCAAGGGTATAGTTCAATATTATGTCGTCTGCTCTAACAGTAGTGAAGGATTCATGTGTATGGTTCTTGTCAGCTTTACTGTCTAATGTAGCTTGAAGTTCATTTATATCGGAGATGTTGTGTTTATGAGATTTCAAAACTTTATTCATTGCTTCGAGTTCAACTTTGTCAGCTTTACTTTTAATAGCATCTTCAAAAGTTATTTTTGACTTAACTCTCAATGTAAATCTTGGTTCAACTAATACACCGTTAACAAAGAAGTATGAAGCATAAATTTCATTGTTATAACCAAATGCTTCTGGTGCTTTACCTGTGTCATACTGTACAGTACAGTGTATGTCATAACCTTTAGCACGAATGAATTTATATCTTCTTTCATTAACATCTTCAGTGCTTATTTGTTCATCCTGTGTTAAATATCCATGGTAGTCCGTTATAATCTGTTCGTCTGAACTTATATAATGAACATGGTTTTTATCTGCTTTTTCGGCTAATTTCTCTTCTATCTCATTTATTTCAAGTTCATGCCTACCACCACCTCCCGAAGAAGTATTTTTCTTCAGCTCTTGAAGAACGTCCACTTCGCCATCTTTGGTGTCAATAATGAGACTTTGAGTTAAAACCTTTCCTGTCTTAATGGATGTTTGTAAAACTTCTTCTTCACCGTGTTCGGGGTCATGGTCGTCATCATATCTTGTGAAATCAGAGATGTTGTCATACATTAAGCATATCTGTCTCAAAAGTTCTGCTATTTGAAACTGGAACGAAAGATATACAGAACTTTCATCATCTCCTAAAGTCAAGTCTGCTTTCTTAAGTATTTCTTGAATGTATGCAATGAGAACAGAGTACCTTGGAAAATATTCGAACAATATTTCATTAGCTGTTGGTTTTGGTGGTTCTTCTGGAGTTTCTGTTGTTTCAGTTCCTTCTGTAGGTTCTGTTGGAGTTTCTGCATCTCTTGACTTCAATGCTCTTGCTCTCAAAGACCTAAATGTTAGAGCACCAGGTTTTACAAAGGACTTTATAAATGCTTTAATAGTTCCTGGTAAGTTATTGTTAGCATTAAGTAAGTTCCCTATGCTTCCATCATGTACGTCCATAGCACTATGTAAAAAATCTATACTTTTCTTGTAGTCAGCAATAGACTGACTGTGATTTTTTAAAGATTTGTCAATACCTTTAAGCCAATCTTCATGCATGTCTGATACTGAGCCAAGAATATCATTTGCTTCCTTTAGTGTATTTTGTGCTTCTCGTAAAGTATCCAATCCCGTACGTGCATTGTTTGCTATACGTCTTACAGTATCTATTTGACTCCTTGTTTATTGCATCCAACCAGATAAAGTTTTAATAGTATCCGAACCATTTGAAATGAAGTTCAAAGCATTTTTAACGTCATCTAAAACTTCTTCACCAAGTACTGCCCATATCTTTCCGATTTGGTATTGAAGAACTCCATATGAAGCAGCTGTTAAACCAGTATTTATAAGGTTCCATATCCATGATTTAGCAGTTTTTCCATCCTTTCCATCTTCACCATCCAAACCGTTTTCGCCTTGAGGTCCTTGTATTCCTTGTATTCCTTGTATTCCTTGTGGTCCTTGAGGTCTGGTGTCACCCTTCTCTCCTTTCAGTTCATCTTTATGTTCGTTATAATATTCTAATGTCATAAGGTGTACATCATTACTGCTACCAGCAACGCCGAGAATTTGTTTCTCATTCATGACTAAATTCTTTAGGCATTTAATGTTGTCGTCAAATCGAAAGCTCTTTAACAATTCAATGAGAACATTTAATACTTTCACTAATGAGGCATCTACTGTAGAATTTATATATTGCACCGTTCCATCATTTATGATAGGAACCTTGCTTGTTGTAATGAATGGGTCATAAGTGTTAAAAGTATCGAAATCAATGACTTTTTAGTTTTTCCATCGTCAATGACTAAATCATTGCCTTCAATGGTTAAAGTTGAGTTTTCGTTTACTAGTTCATGTGCTCTTCTTGCTTCATTTGTTTCATACGCATATGCAGCAATAGTCATATTTTAATGAGAATAAATGTTGTTCTATTTGCAAAGTACAGACCCAAACGAATACGGGACAGTAAAGCTACAAACAAACTTAGGTCTTCAGAATGAAGCGCTTGCTTTCAGAGTTGTTGACTTCAATACTATCGCAACTTTTGTCATAACAGATGAAACAGATTTCATGGAGATTGAAATAGATGGAAAGAAGCACGAAATAAGATTTCACAATAATGTAGAATATAAGATGGAAACATTAGCTGGAGTGTTAAATGCTCTCATAAATACTACAATAAACAAGGATAACGAAGAAAACTTAATGAATGTTAAACTTATTGCAGGAGTTTTGAAGTTCAGTTATGCGAAGGAGGAGTGTGGTAGAATTTACGAAAAAGTGACAGTAGAAAAGTGACACTTAACCTTAAATTTCCAAACACTATTTTTTGATTATATTTTGTTATTTATATATTTATATATGTATATATTTATATATGTATATATTTATATATGTATATATTTATATATGTATATATTTATATATGTATATATTTATATATGTATATATTTATATATGTATATATTTATATATGTATATATTTATATATGTATATATTTATATATGTATATATTTATATATGTATATATTTATATATGTATATATTTATATATGTATATATTTATATATGTATATATTTATATATGTATATATTTATATATGTATATATTTATATATGTATATATTTATATATGTATATATTTATATATGTATATATTTATATATGTATATATTTATATATGTATATATTTATATATGTATATATTTATATATGTATATATTTATATATGTATATATTTATTAGTAGCTGCTTCATGCTGCATTGAGTATTGTTGAATAATTTGAAGTAGTGGTTTTTGAAATCAGCACCCCTATGAGAGCGCTGGCGACCGAAACACCACTAGTAAGATTGTGTATTAGAAACTGCTTCATGCTGTGTTGAGTAAGCTTCGATGTCTTTGTAGGATAGCTTTCTGAGAGCGAAACAAGATAGTGTTGAAAAAAAAATTTTGAAAATCTGAGAGACTGTGCAAGAGCCAACGACCAAAACGCTACCAGTAAGATACAGCAGTAGTAGCTGCTTCATGCTGCATTGAGTATTGTTGAATAATTTGAAGTAGTGGTTTTTGAAATCAGCACCCCTATGAGAGCGCTGGCGACCGAAACACCACTAGTAAGATTGTGTATTAGAAACTGCTTCATGCTGTGTTGAGTAAGCTTCGATGTCTTTGTAGGATAGCTTTCTGAGAGCGAAACAAGATAGTGTTGAAAAAAAATTTTGAAAATCTGAGAGACTGTGCAAGAGCCAACGACCAAAACGCTACCAGTAAGATACAGCAGTAGTAGCTGCTTCATGCTGCATTGAGTATTGTTGAATAATTTGAAGTAGTGGTTTTTGAAATCAGCACCCCTATGAGAGCGCTGGCGACCGAAACACCACTAGTAAGATTGTGTATTAGAAACTGCTTCATGCTGTGTTGAGTAAGCTTCGATATCTTTATCAGACCACCTTTAAATTAACCACTCACATTCTCACTGTGGTCCATCTAAAATTTGTAAGCTTTATGACATAAAATTATATTATATGCAGGATCCCACCTATTACTTAATCTTTTTGGAATAAATGTTTTATAATATTTATCGATTGATTGTAATTTTTTGTATAAAAAAGTTTTTTATTTATATTAAAAATATATTTTGTTAATGATATTATCTTATAATTTGTAAATAAATCTAGTAATAAAATAACTTTAATAGTTGGTGTCACTTTTTCGAAAATTCTGGTTTTTTCACAATAAACAAGGATAACGAAGAAAACTTAATGAATGTTAAACTTATTGCAGGAGTTTTGAAGTTCAGTTATGCGAAGGAGTTTAAGATAACACGAATGAGTCATAGAGTACAACTTCTTTTGGGTGCATACCATATGACATTTCCTTTGAAAAGTGTTGACAAAACGATTGAGATGAAATCTGTTCCATACGTATGTTATGGTAATTGTTTATACATTGAGTCTAAAATAGCTAATGTCACAGGTATTTCAGGAGTTAATAGTAAAGGTTCAGTAGAATATAAATCCTTCTGTTATGCAGTCAATTCAATGTTCATTCCAAACGTTCCTGTCATAGCAACTCATTTAGGTAAATGGGTTCGCATTAGTCCTCATAATTTGAAAGACATGCAATTCAGACTTGTTGACTTTCAAGGAGAGCCTGTAGAACTGAAGGCACCGGTGCGAATGACTGTTGAAGTTGACTTTTTAGAAAATATTAAATGCAACAGCTTACAAGAGAACTCAGAGCTAAAAATATAAAGTATGAATGTTATGTATTAGGTCATGAACTTTGGTTGTTGCTGTTTGATGAAACAAATGAGTTAGTTATGTCAGTCAAGAGAACAGAAAAATATTGTGTTAGTGAAAACTGCACCAAGTCAATAAGATTAGGTTTGCATTATGAAGATGAGTTCAATAGTGTTGAAGAAGTTTTGGACAGATACTATAAGTTGTTAACTTGAAATTTTTTTGACTGACGGCGCAAAGCGCCAAGACCGAAGGTCCTGACTGCTTTAATTTACTAAAACATATTTCAAACAAAGCTTATAGTCAGTAGATAGTTTTGTATACTCGTTCGAATATTTATACTTAAACTCAACTCCTGTAGTTCCTGGTGTTTCAATGATGCGGATGTTACCTATTTTCATAAATAGTGGAGTTTGACCACAGCATTCGATTTCAGGGTCGAGATAGTCAATGACACATTGTTTCCCTGTTATTCGTGAGATAACATTTTCAAGGTCCTCCTTTGTTAGAATTATTTGGTTCTTGCTTATAAGATTTGTCAAAAGCTTCTTATCGTCTTTGAGTAAAATTGTTTGGTATAACTGAAGAAGGTAATGGTCTACGTTATCTGAAGGATTTGTTTGAACATTTGTGTAAGGATTGTCGTTGGCTTCTCTTGAAAGAATTTGGTCCAGTGGTGGATACTCTAACTTAACATCTGATGTAGCGTTAGCGTTTGAAGCTGTGTTTAAATTCACCGACTTAAGTTCTGGTTCTTTTTCTTTCAAACACTCTGAACTATAGTTCTTTATGACAATATTGTTTGTCGTTCGTGAGTCAACATTTGATGTTGGTTCAATTGGAACATTAACAGCACCAGCTAAGATGGATTTGCTTCTCATTTCATATAGAATAAAAACATTTTATATGTATGAAATGAACAATATACTCGACAAGGGTTTGAATGTAAAGCTAACGAATGAAAATATTGTTGAATTCACTGAGACAGGTGCTGTGTATAAAGATGTAGAACTACTGAACAAAAGAGCTAAGGGAAGAAGCAGGAACATGAACAAAGGGTGGAAGCCTATAAAAATTTATGTCAATGATGGCTCAGGAGGTTCAAACATAAAGTATGCAGAAAGTTATAGAGTTTATGCTCTCAAAGGTGAAAAGCCTTCATTTAAGAACAGCTATTCTAACGCATATCCTCAAAAGCTAACGGATGGGGAAGTGGATGATATGAATGACAGCAAAAATATTAACAGAAATGGCGACAGAGATGCATGGAATTTGTTTACCATCAGTCAATTGAAGGTTAAACTTTAAAACAATGTTGGTTGTTCCCATGGAATATTTTTGACTTTAATGGTATTAGTCATGATATGAATCTCAAGGTATGAACGAGGAGAGATGAGAGACTTATATGCTTCCCAAATTTCTTCAAAAGGTAATGTTATACCTGACTGTTTCCAAATGAGTTCAATGTCATAGCGTGAGAAACCTTGAAAGATAACGAAGTCAGTTATGAGACGTTTTATGTTTAAAGCTAAAAACCTCCATGTTTGCATAAGTATTGCTACAGTTAAATGGTAATGTCTGACTTTAGTAATGATGTTAGCTAATGGTGAGTCTGGTTTTGACACTAAACCTTTTCCGGCGAAGTCGTCACAAACTAATAAAGTGTTTGAAGGATATTTTTTGAAGGGGTATTTTGAAAGTTTTGACAGAATGTAGTTTGTAAGTCGTTTCATATCGTAAACTCCTGAGTACTGACGTAAGTGGTGTTTGTCAATAATTCTTTCCATCTCCTCAGAAGTCTTTTGCATTCCTGACTGTATAAATTCAACGATGGCATAATATTTCCTCTTACGTCGAATGTAACGTTGAAGAAATTCAATGAGTTCACTGTCTGGAACTTTAACGACAGAGGCTTGAACTTTTGACATAAATGTTTTCACTGTTGAGTCCATAGAGTCTGAAGTTGCTGATATAATGATTTGGTCATAATATGAGTCATTTCCTAAACGTTCTGTTATGAGTATATGACGAATGAGGTTAAATGTCTTACCTGAACCCATCTTTCCACAATAGAAATAAACACCATTTGAACAGAACTCATAGTCCTTACTGAAAGGAAGAATGAGAGAACTGTTGAGCTTTTCACTGCTTTCATTCATGTCTTCATCTACGTCATGTATTAAATGCTTCATTTTATCTCCATTAAAAATGCAAGTCAGAAATATTCAGAACATAGCACCGAGTCTAACTGACAAGAGTATAAAGATATACTATGAACATGTTATGATGAAACCAACCAAAATTCAAGAAAGTCAGTATACTTATGAATATCCAAGACACTGGGTAGAGTATGTAGGAGGTGAGAAAGCTATTGAAATCAGACAGGTTCGAAGTATTCCAGCAGGAAGAACAATATTATTGAAGAACTTTAATGTTTTGAGGTATAATGATGAAACAAAAAAGCAAGATAGTTTTCCTGTTGCTGTGTATGTGAACTTAGATACAGGAGATGACATGAAAGTTTTTAATACAAAGCTTCAAACGGTAGTGAGAGAACAACTGACTGCGGAAGGACATCCATTACCTTCAGAAGTTACCATAGCATATAATTTTGAAACAAACTCAATAGATTTTAAAGTCGTCTCTGCAAAGAAGTCAGGTTTTACATTTAATGAAGCAGATGTATATTCGAATGAAAACTTCAAAGCTATTGCATGGTTAGATAATGACGATTGCTTTAAGAAAATATTTAAATACAGTGACTCAACGATGTCAATAGATGACCTTCGTGGAATGTTACCATCGACGTTTACAGTAGAAGGTTCAGCAGGATTGCTTACAAGATTGTCAATTGGTGGTATTTGGTCTCGTGAGAACATTGTTATAAAATCCAGTATAAGTGAATTTGCTGAAGAATCTATATTATGTCTTTCAAACTACATGTATTCGCCGCCGAAGCATTATAGTATAACAAACTTTGTCAGTAAGTTTAACATAAGACTTGTCGAACCTTCTTCAATGAAAGATGTTGTGCTACCCAAAGACGGAAAGGATGGACTCATTATTGAGATGATTTTAATAGCATATTAAATGAGCTTGTTCTTGAAGGTCATTCATGATGAAATAACTGTTGTAGAAGATGTTAGCAATTGTTCAGACATTTTGAAGCGTATAGATGATATAGAAAGAAGTTAGATAGACCGCAAAGCGGTGAGGGCGAAGCCCGTGAGAACGCTTATGTTTCATTGACTTTCTCCAGTAACGAGAACTTTTATGAGATAATATTGAAGAGAGATGATTTTAATATGGTGTAAATGGTAGCTTGGGCAGCTTTAGGCGCAATGGGAACAAAAGCATTAGCATTTGGAGCAAAAGCACTTGGAGCTTATGACGCAGTAAATAAAATGAGTGGAGGAAGGGTTTCGAAGACATTAGATGCAAATAAAGGAAGATTGGAGGCTGGGTTGCAAAGAAGTTAAGATTAAATAAAATAGGGCTCATAAATAAAGCATCCAATTTGGTTGCGACTGAGTCAGAAAATGCTTTAGGAAAGGACGATGAGTTTGCAAAACACGCAAAAGACTTTAATGACCAGATGAAAGGTGAAACAATGCATTTAAATAGAGTCGATGGAACTAAAGAAAATGTTTCTTCTCCACCAGTAGTTTTTCCGTATGGTCCCTATGGAATGTATGGAAACCCTTACGAAAGACCATTTGACCCATTGACTGGTGGAAGTAACTGGTATCATTACGGACGAAGAAGAAAGACAGTCAAGTTGGAGACAGACGTGAAGAAAGCAACTAAAAAGAAACCAAGGAAGAGAGTTATAAAGCAATGAATTCAACAGGGTGAAAAAACAGGTGAAAAAAGAGGTGAGATCTCACCACTTCACCTAAATTTATTTTTGTGCTATGTTTTCATACGTGTGGGAGTGGTGATATCATTAATTTTTAAGTTTATTTTTTATTTTATTTTTTATTTTATTTTTATATAAATGACGAAAACTATTGAGATAACAAACTACAACGGTCATGAGTTCAAGAATTTGTTCTTCGTTCCTCGTGAAAATACATTCTATCAGATACGAGGGAGAAAGGGTAAAGTTAGTTTGAGCGTTTACGACAACAAACATAATGGGAGATATATAAAAGCAATAGATACAAACGGTAAGCGTGTTTCATTAGCTTTGTCAAAACTTACATACATTTATTTTGACAGTGATTTTGACTCTGACGATTGGAGTGACAGCAGCGATACTGAAGAATATGAACTATTGTGTGAAGCACAGCAATGGGAAGCGCTGCAATACTTTTGTAAATGAGAACATTAGTGGGAACGTTAGTGAGAACGTTTATTTTTTCATTAGTGAAGTCGTTAGCGAAAATGTTAGTGAGGTGAAGTGGTTGGCGGTTTTGTAAATATTTAAGGTTAAGTTAGTGTTGTCGTTTGTGTTGTAAAATATACATTAGCGGTTTTGTAAAGTGTCAAATTCACATATAATGGGTAAGGAGGCGCGCAGTGCCTCCGTACCCAAGATAGGTATACTAACTCTCGAGTCGAAGATTTCGCCTTTCTGGGAAGTACTGGTGCTTCAAAACCTTGAAATGTGATTCCGAGATGTTGTTTGTTCCATCTCCTTCATTTCTATAGCGAAGCATCCACCTGTCAAGATGATGGCGCCACTGTTGGTCAAAGTATTCACGGGCAGCAGGTTCCTCATTTAAAATTTCTTCTAAATTGTTGTAAACTTCATCAGGATCAATTTCTTCCTCTTCAGAACCAAAGACCAATAACTTCATTAAGTTATAGAAAGTTTCGAAGTTGGAACGATCTTGAAACTTTTCAGCCTTTCTCATGACAGCGCGCAACACATGAACGCCACACCAAATGATCTGGCATAAGGGGATGGCTGTTTCAACAGCATTTGTGATTTGAGGTGCGCAGTCCATCGAAAAATAAGATGGTTCGCGATTGATGGAGCCAAAATATGCTGTGAGACAAACTTGTATATTTTCACTTGTGTTGGGCCAAACGAAAAAATACAAAAACGGAAAAACAATTGATTCCGCGAATTTGCCAGTGACGGCATAAAATGGTATGCGAGAGCGCAAGAGCTTATAAGTGGAATCAATGTGATAAGTTTGTATTTGATGTGAAAAAGCATTTGCTTCGAATGGGGCGTAATAGAAAATCATACGATCTGGCTCGTGAATAAACTCGATGAGATCATCTGGAGAATGACTCTTAATCATGTCGACAAAAATTGCAAGAGATGTAACATCATCCGCTGAGAAACGGGTATTGATTGCATGAAGGCGTTTAGAAAACTTTTTTAAAGCATCTGTAGATTGTTGAAACATTTCCGGAATGATCCCACTATCAAATGGGATATTAAGATCTTTGAAATACCTTAATTGTGCGTAAACACGGTCTTGATTTGATTCAAAATATCTTGTTAAATAAGATCTATAAAAATATGATGTAATTTGTTGTGATTTGTTTGGAAAAGGGGCAGAATGATTGTGGGTGTTAATACATTTTCGTATGTGGTACTTGTCATCGGGAAGTGTATCAACAAGGAAGCGACATGGACAATTCGGCCACTTACAATTAAATTCGATTTGATTTCTTTCTTTCCTAGTTTTATATGAATAACTACAACCTGCTTGGATTTCTTGTTGCACTCGATACTTAAGCAACTCGATATATGTGAGTTCGTGATCTTGGATCTGCATTAAAATGAAATGATTTGAAAGAATAAAGAATTTTGAATATATTGGTCTTATTTTGATAAGCTTGGTCGTGTTTTGAATAGCTTGGCCATCTAATTCAATTATGATCTTTGAAAATTAGGTGAAATAAAACTAAACATAAATGTAAAACTAGGGATATGAAATTTTGGTTGTACACCACTTGTATGTGCCGGATACCATTGTGTCAAATTTTTTCTGAAATTAACTTTAAAAGTACTAAGTAAGATCATGAGATATAGCAATATATGTTTAAACCAACTTATATTTTGGTTGTACACCACTTGTATGTGCCGGATACCATTGTGTCAAATTTTTTCTGAAATTAACTTTAAAAGTACTAAGTAAGATCATGAGATATAGCAATATATGTTTAAACCAACTTATATTTTGGTTGTACACCACTTGTATGTGCCGGATACCATTGTGTCAAATTTTTTCTGAAATTAACTTTAAAAGTACTAAGTAAGATCATTTATTTTTGCATAATATAATGCCAATATGGTTTCTTTTGATTTTATTTCATTTATAAGCAAATCAGATTTACCCAAAAACTCCACTCCATAAGCGTTCATTTGCTAAATTCAAAAGTGACAATGGGCTAGTCTGTCCCTTTCTCGAATTGTTTCTATTGTAAAGATACATCGTAAATTAAAATTTCACGAGTCCGATATCCAGAAGAGGAATAATTTTCCTCAAATTTTTACCGTTTATTATATGGCGTCAAAAATTTTTATAAACAATCAAAAACCTGAACTATTAATTTTTATAATCCCTGTTGAATTCTAAGCTTTTTAAATAAGATTGAATTTTTTTTGACAGTTGATTTTGAAAGCAAAATTTGTAAAGTCATCCAAAATTTATATAATTTTACAGAAAACTACACAATCCGTATCTACATGATATACGAGCCTTGTAAGTTAGCTCAAATTATCGAAAAATCAAACCCCGTGATAATTTGACAGCTTGAAAGTCATATTTTGTATTTTAACTAAATTAACATAATATTTGATTAATTTTGATCATGAAATCATTTACAATTTCTTTTGAGCATTGAAAATTTTGTGCTATAAACTAAATAAATACATTGTTTGGGTATCATATAATAATCACTATTCAAGAAAGTTCAATATTGAAAAAAAAATTTGAGTTCAAGAAAAAAAAATTATGTCGAAAATGGATCTTTCTGTTTACCGTTCTCTTCAGCTTAAAAGGAGTTCAGGCATATTTACAGAGGTTATTAGAGTTGATAAAAACGCACGTAATATGCTTGAACACTTTCTTATTGTAGGAGCTCCTCCAGTCGAAAAAGGAACAAAAGTCACCGATCCGAAAATCATTACAATATTTCCTGCTTCCCCACTTGCCATGAGTCCTGACGATATGAACATGCTTACTTTGCATTGTTTTCCAAACGGATTCGGAAAATTAAAAGAAAAAGAACAAAAGAAGAAAAACCCTTTACTTGAGCTATATACATTCAGGCTTGGTGGACAGAGCTGCACGTTTTATGGCTGTGTTGCAAAGTTTAAAGTTATGACTAATCCAATTCCATGGTTTGCAAGTGAAGTATCCATTAAATATCCATTTGCATTTTGCATCATTTCTTCCATCCCCATTCTTTCTAGCCACTTCCAATTCTTGTATTTCCTAGTCAATGCATATCATAAACCGAATGAGTTCAAATTCAACAAAACAATGCTTAGCCATAAGCCATTCCATGTTATCCGAGGCGAGACACTTCCAGATTTGTTAAGAATGAATGGTTGCGGTGTTTGGCCGGGTATTACTCCAAAGATTCACTTCCTTAACCAGGTCAATCTTTATCGCTCCATCTCCATTAAGCGATACAACAAACAAGCATTCCCAGTTTTGAGCACATTGTTCGTCCACGTACCCGCAGCTGCTAGTGATATCAATTTAATCGCCGCCTGTTGCTTGGACGTTTTATTCTCATACCTTTCCATACCAGATATCGTCAATCTATTTACATACGCACTTCTCGGCAACTACATCATGTTCCAAGCTGATGATGCCAGATTATTATCTTCTAGCGTACTTGCTTTAAGAGCAATCCTCTCTCCTTTCCCATTCCAGACACCCCTCATCCCTTACGTAATTAATGATGACAGATTTATCGGATTACTTAACTCTCCTGTACCTTATATCGCAGGAGTTTTCAAAAATACCGATTTGTCAGAAATAGAGATTGGCGACCAAGCGGTTTACGTAGATCTCGAGAATGGTAAGGTCAAAGGTCCAAAAGTCGTTCGTCTTCCTAACAGAGATGGACTCATCAAAAGATTAAAGGACATCATAAGAGAAGCCAGCGAGACAATTACTGTTCCTCAGAAAGCAATCAAGAAATCCTTCTTTTCTTCTCCAACTTGGAACCAAAATTACTATACTTTCTTCAAAAACCTCGATAAGTACACGATGCCACCTGCCTTCATGTCAAACCATTACCAGAAATACATATTCGATCAAGCTACTGTCGAAAAAGTCATGTTCGCGTTTACATCTCATGTTGCACCAGAAGTAGCTGATTTAATCAAGCCATGCTTCGTTACAGATACAACAGATATCGACAGACCATGCACAGTGTTCAATAGAACACTCTTCCTCGATAGTATTCCAAAAGATTCGAAGGCTTTTTACACTCTCTTCTCGCAAACACACGCATTCGCTGGATTTTGCGATAAGAAGACTGATGAAGTCGATCTAATTAAGATGTCTGCAAATACTGAAGATGTTTCCCCTCTTGAATTAGATGATGAAGTTGATTTTTAATCGATTACTTTGAAATATGATAATAATATGTCTGTTTTTTAGAATAAATTCTACATGTGTTTATTTCTTTATAAATTTTGATGGATTTCACATTTCTATTAAATATAGAGTCACATATTTCATTTCCATTACATTTTCCAATTAGACAATGCAAGTATCCAAGAAAAATATGTTAATCAAGCTTATATAATGAAATTATGTTTTATAAAATTATGAATTTTAGGGATTGAAACAAAATGAATTATTTATTCATTTATATGTATGATAATAAACAATCATGTAATCACAGAATAAGCGTTTTAAGTCAAAATATGAAAAATATTAAAAATATTATATGTTTATTCGAATAGTATTGATCCATTCTTACTATAACAATACAAGCTATTATTTTAACATCAGTACAAATCGGATTCTCTTTGTAATTGGATCAAAATTTAACAATTAACTAATTAATGATGTTTTAGTATCGTGCACTTATATAAATCTGTGAGTATAATACATTCCCTATGAAATTTAGTTTAAAATGTTATTTCATTTTGATAATTGTTCGACAAATGGTTGTAATGCATGTACAAGCATAAATTCAACAAATTCATCATATGGAATTAAGCATTCATCAGAAAATTAGAATCAAAAGATTTCAAATAACGATATAATTATAAATTGGATAATTAAACCTAAAGGATAACGCAAATATGTAATTTCTAGATCTTGGCTACCTTTTGCTTTAGAGTTTCAAATGCCTGCTGACACAATTTTTTGTATTTATTTTTTTCTCGTGTTGTATTTTGAAGATCTTCCTCTATTTCTCTTAGTTTTCCATCTAGTTGATTAATTTCGTACCTCAATGAACTGATTCTAGAAATTCTTTCTTCTCTTTCAGTATCCTCTCTTGGTTTTCTCAAATTAGCTAATTCTTTCTCCAGTTGAGTGATTTCATCCTTCAGCTGTCTGTTTTTTTGAGACTCTGAATTAAATTCATCAGCAAGTTTACCAGCTGAAATAAGATCCTTTAAAAGGCGATCTTCATGAGAATTCCATGATTTGTTAGCTTGAGATAGTGAAGTTTTCCATTCTTTATCTATTTTTTCAAGGATTACTTGATTTTCATCCGCGTGAATCTTTTTAATTCTCTCCAATTCAGTTTCTTTCCATGCTTCAAAGTCGAACGCATGATTATCCTTTGATGTACGGTTTTCTTGATCATTCTTTTTTGTACCTTTCATCAAAATCTATTCTAAAATTAAACGTTCATTTGTAAACAAAAAATTATGACTAGTACAGGGTTGACAGAGGAGGAGGAAAATAAATACATGATATTTATAAAGAACTTGATGAAAAATGGTAGAAATTTTGTAGGATACCCAATAACCCAAAGAATTATCGAAATAACTAGAAAATATGGGAATAGCATTATAAAGAATACGGAACATTACCAAGTTGTAGTTAATTTTGAAAGTAAATATAAGCATGGTGAGGACCACCCAAGTTCCTTGGCACTTGCAATTCTTAATGTATGTCAAGATCTTCATAAAAATCATATAATTTCGTCTGATCAGTATGCTGAATATTACAATACACCGATTACACTCGACAGCTTTGAACGTGAAGCTGGACAAAAAGAATTAGCTAAATTAATTGCGTTTTATCAACCATATATTAATTACCTTAATTTAAGGGAATTAAAACCTGACCCAAAGAACAAAAAGATGTAATACCAGATTTACTCACAAAATAAGCTTTACTACAATATAGTATCTGTAAATCAATATTTTACCATTTTGAATAGGTACTATATTTGCAGATACTAGACAGAAAAAGAAGACATTGTTGTTCAGCGCATTTCCTTTGTTATTTAATTAAAAGCTTGTTTTTCATAATTAAAATTGCAGAACATGGAGTTAATAACGGTACATTAGCGCGCTAAAAGTCAAACATAAGTTAAAGAGTCAATAATAAAAAATATATTTCTAAGTGACTTAGTTTATTTTTGGTCAACTAGCAGGAGTGGAATAAATTATGATAGGATTGATTTTTTTGCAATCATAATAAGATTTAATTTGAAGTTTCAGATCTAAATATCATTTTTAGTGAAGCTATTGTAAGATGAACGCAACAGTTATTGACTCATCTAATTTATTGTTATTGCGTCCATATTGATACAGAATAATCGTTTTTTCAAGAAAAAATTTCTATTCTAAAGAAAAAATAGAAAAACAAACAATAAAAAAAGAGGGAAGATTGAATATAAGAAGATAATACTCTAATTTTAATGTATACGAATATACCAATAGAATTTATTTAATACTTGTAGTCTGGGCAGGAGCCGATGATAAGATAGAAGTATGGCTTAGCACCTGATTCATCATGCTTGCAGAAGAGCATCATGTCATCAACGTTGTTTGTTGGGCCAACGAAGAAATCGAATTCCTTGAAGTTAGCATCAACCCACATGACGAACTTCTTAGCGTTCTGCATGAATTCTGTCTGAGCATCGCCGGAAAGCTGAGCCTTACGGGCTGGGATGAACTTCTTGCACCAGGCACCGAACTGAGCCTTTGTGAGTTCGAGCTTCTGAAGGTTGTTGTTGTATGGGATGTTCATGACTGTGTCCTTTCTTGTGGTTTCGCCTTCTTCGACATCGACTTCGATGTAGTCACCCTCGAATTCGAGAGCGCCGATGTCCTCCTTGCGAACTAATTTGTAAGCATCGGAAACAAGCTCGTCCTCTTCAATTGGAGATGCGTAGTATCTCATTCTGTCTGAAAAATGATTTGAAAGATTTTGAAATTAATTGAGAACTCTGGTCATGTCACTTTTTTCTTTCAAAGATAGGCCACACCTAGGTTTCAAAGGAACCGCTTTTTCCAGGCCACGCCCTTTTTTAATCCCACCAACTTTAATGAATTAACTTTGACACACGCCATATTGCCTGCACTTTTCATCAAATCCGAAAAAAAAATTATTGATTTTCACCCTTTCAATTATTGTGAGGATTTATGGCATCACTCGAATTTTAAAATAGGCTGTATAACCAAATATAGAGAATTAATATTTGTGGTTCCTGTTTTTGAACTTCCACATTCAAAATTCTGATCGAACAATTCTCTCAAAAGATAAATGTTCGTCAATCCAAATCATCAAAATATCAACTACCTTACCAATCTTTTCAAAACTTACTCATTGTTGGTCTCAAATAAATAAATCCGTTGTTCTCATTGCAATCGGAACTGGCCAGATAACTATGCCACGCCTACATATGTGTTTCATCTGATTGTTTTCTAGCAGTACAGGATGTTCTAGCACAAGATCACAAGAAAATAAAATTCAATCTAATAAAATTCCAAACAAATTGCTCCGAAATCTATATATTTCAATAATATATACTGAAAAATCTTATATTACTCAAGTCTAAGAAAGTTTTTCAGCATTATTTTAAATTTTCGATGAAAATTACTTAAAAACTGTTCAATTCTATTAAATTTGAATTTTATATATAAAAAGGTTCCATCTAATCCCATTAACAAAGGGACCTTTTCTAATATAAAATTTCGTAAAGATCATTAGAACATCATAACGTTGATAAGTCCAACATACTGATCCAATAGCTAATTCTTTGGCAAACAATTCATTGTTGTTTAACATTTTTTGCAAATAATTTTTCAAACCTAAACACCGATCATGTATAATAAAATACAAAAGATTTTGAACCTGTTAAATCTATAAAACGTGGTTCATTGAATCGAAACTTCTGTTTCAATTGTTTTATACTATCTAATATCTAATTGCTTTTTTATCTTGATTTCCTTGTGCAAATCTAATGTATATACCACATACATTAATATATTATAAGCTGTTACTCTTCTCTTATAGAGGATAAATTTGTTTTATGAGCTCTTTCTTATCAATAAGCTCGCATTTCTCTGATTTCAATTTGAGTTTATGAGATAAAATGAACTATAGAATTTATTGTGGCAGATTAACTCCAATCAGCTTTCAATAATCAAAAAATAAGTAAACAAAAACAAAATTTTTATGAATAATATAAGGATGTTCTAACTAAATACAAACAAATGCATGTTATGAAACCAAGAGGATGCCCACTGCAGTCTTTCTAAAGATAATATTTTTCAGCAAGCTTAAGGCGAACTTCTTGGATTTCCTTAAGCAGTTTTTCTTCCTGAGCTTTGAAAGAAGCTTGCGAAGAGCTATTACTGCCACTTCCCTTCAAGTTATTTTGCTCAGTTTGGAAAATAATTTTAAGTTGCTCCGGTTTTTGACGTCTTCTTGATATTTCATCATTGAGCTTAGTATTCTTGGCTATAAGTTCTCCTATTAATTCTTCTTTTTCATGCTTCATAGATTGAATTTCTGCACGAAGCATCTCTTTTTCATCCCAAAGTTGTGAAATGGTCTGTTCTGGCTCATCAATGCTATTTAGACTACTCTTCCATTTCTGAACAAACTGTGAATACTTTTTATTTCTAGCATTGTCTGAGTTAGCTTTCTTTTGTTCATCTTGAAGGCCTTTTTCTTGAACTTCTATTTGATCTTTGAGCTCCTTTAATTCTTGTAAAAGTTGGTCTCTCTCGCGCTGCCAGTTTATTGCTGTGTTATGAGCTAAATTAGACTTATCAAAGTTCTCTTGTCTTTGTTTCTCCTCTTCGTTATTAGCTTGAATTCTAGCCTTAGTTTGATTGAGTTCTGTATCCAAATCATATAGTTGCTTCTGCAAATTTGGAATTTCTTTCAGGCAGTCAATTCTACCTCCGAGGGAATTCTCGAACTCAATTTCTCTTTGTTTGAGCTTCATGTATGCTGCATCACCTTCTTGCTTGAGAGTTTGGAGAGATTGAATTCTCAATTCTGTTTCTGTAACTTTCTTTTTAAGAATATTAATCTGATTGTTCTGCTTGTCGATCTCATTTAATATTTCATGCTCTTTGATCGATAAATCTACCTTTTTAATGTTTTCTGCTTTAGAATCTGCTGTGACGTTTTCTAAAGACTGTAATAACTCTCGTTGAATTGTTTCATGTTCATCTATTTCATAAGAAATAGGTTTGAGTTCATTTAATTTGTTATTTAGAATAACTCGATGTTCATCATTGATTTGATATTCACCTTCGGATGGTTCTGGATTTACTTTAAGTGTTGTTGGTTTTCTAGATCGTAAATTAGCATTTCTAAGCTTAGCTAATACAATTTGTTTTTGTTTTTCGACAATGGCTTTATTAATTTGTTCAATATCTTGATAACTGTGATTTACTTCTTCTACAAGTTGATTAAATATAGTTTGCTTCTCATCTAACTCGAAAGCCAGGTCCTTTCCGTTCATGCAAATTTTGATTTTAAACGTACATCACTCTAAAAATTAAAGCAAATGCCCTTAATGAATTATTGCCTTGATGAAAAGTAGAACATTGTGATCCGAAATGGCAAAATATTGAGATTCGGAAAGAATTTTATTGATTCATGGTTTAATTAAAGAGGAGATGAAGAATGGTTTAAATTTCGACTAAACCACATGTTTAGAAAGATTTCGATAGCATATTTCAATTTCATTTTTTATGAATTGATTTTTTATATAAATAATGTCCGATATGAATAAAACACAGCTAGTTTAGTACAAAGAGAGATAAAAAATTTAAAAAACAAAAGTTTCGGAAATTTGATTGATTTCACGTTCAATTTCTTGGAGATCAACATCAGGATCATCTTCAAGTCTCTCGATAACTTCATGAACTGTAGAGACTTTGTCCTGAATTGACTTTGTCAAGTCAGAAATTGTCTTATAACATTCGTGGTTTCCATAAATACCTTCGCATGTTGCAAATGGACAGCTTTGCTGGTCAAGGGACTCATTTTCAATAACTGTCCGATCTGTCAAGAAAAGATTTTGTCCATCGACGTAAATCGATTGATATGGGACAAAAATCTTATTGGATTTTGCCAAAATCTGGTACATATTTGGCTTGTCAACAGGACACGAATCAAGAATCATTACGTCTTCATTAACCGAAATTTCAATTCCTCCGTAAGTTGCGTCTTTAATTGCTATTCCATGGCATGTTTTACCATAATATGGTTCATTTTTGAAGTAATAACGGTAATGGGAAAGAAGATCTACAATTATATTTTGAGAAACAACTTGTGAAGAGATTGGATCAACATTTGTATCAGGGTTCTTAGTGATAATTCCTGAAATGCAGATTGCAAGGTTTGTCAATGTCATTTTGCTTGATTCTTCCATAAGAATATGATTTAAGACTTCCATGAATCTCGCAATGATAGCGAAGTTAGCAAGAGGCATTGTATCCAAAAGTTGCTTTGTTTTAATGACTCTTGAGTTCGTATCTGTTACTTTTGTTAAGGATTCCAATTGTTTATAGTAAGAAAAGGGGATAACTGGGTTTGTAAGGTTCTTTAAATAAAGTTTAAGAACTCCTGTAATATCATGAATCGGCTGCTGATCTAAGTAAGTTAAAACTTCATTAATATTATAATTTGAATCGATATAGTTAGCCATTTCTTCGACATGTGTTTGCTGACCTGATTTTCTGAATAAACCTTCTACATCCGCATGGCTATCAATGATTTTGAAAATTTCTTCTAAAAAGTATGGAATTATGGCAGTTGGGCTGGTTCGTGCAAGGGCATTCTGTATGCTCTGGTTAAATATCGGTAAATCTGTTGTCTGTTTGAGCTTGGAAGTAGTTTTTCTTAATCCAAATGAATCAGTTAATTTTAAGGCCTGTTGCACTGTTAAATCTGAGGAAACTTCACCATTTTCCCAGAAAAGAATCCAGTCCGAGCTGCCAAAGAATTGAGCATCTGGAGTTCTTTTCAGAATATTAATTAATTTGTTGACAATTAATGATAATTTTTGATCAGGCGCACAGTAAATCTTTACTAAATATGATAAGCATGTAAATTCAAGAGAAAGCATCGTTTTAGGACGTAATTGAACTTTTTCGTTAGGATCTAAATTCAAAAAAATGTTACGATATTGCACCATTTTTACTGAAGGAAACAACCATTCGCGTTTTTTAGATAAGAAAAGTCCGTATTCTGTTGTAACAGGCGAATTCGAATCTTTTGCAAGTTGAATTGCAGTGTTTATTACATTTTCAACCGTATCATTGGCACTAACATGTACTTTGACAATTTCTGCTTTAGAAAAAGGATATGGGAGCTGGATATTTAATGTCGGCAGCGCCATTTGAAATTTTTCAAATAAAAATAACTTTTTTTTATATCATCAAATAAAGGTATGGAAACTAGGATCTTCAATTCATATTAGTTTCAATTTCAGAGGATAGCATCATCATCGGATTATAAAAAGGATATCATCAATCACTTTTTGATCACAATTTGAATTCGTTCTTAAAAACCAAAACAGAGATCATAATTCGATTAATCTCATAAAACAACATCGCTTTACCGTTTTTAATTTTGCTGAAAATCTCAAAAAAATCTTGATTTTTGAAATTTGAAATGTAAAACAACAATTTTGATGAGAAATTTTAGAAAAACTCATATTTTTGATAAAAATAAAGAGAAAGATTCCCCTTTATCTTGAGATGTACTGCGTATTTTCACGTTCTGAGAGCAGAAAACGAATTTTTGGAATGCGTAGATTCCGAATCACTTGGAAAAATTAGGTTTAAACAAGAAAATATGCAATCCATTAAGTGCTACAATATTTAGCAGTATAAAAATGATAACTATTTTCTCATACAAAAGCAACAAATAACGTATTTTTCCAATGGGTAGGTATTCATCAAGCTTATCCCAACTATAAACTTTTTTCTCTTTCTCTGGTCGGCCGTGAGCCAGAGAATCACAACAGCATTAACTTATGGTGAGATTTTCTGTTTTTTCCTATACATTTGATAGGACAACCGAGAACCTCACCATAAACGAAATACAAACAGATTCCCTGGCTCTCTGTGAGTTAACAATTACATTTATATTACACTAAAGCAAAGTTCTTCTGGAGTCTCTCATAAAATGAGAGACTTCGGAAGAACTTTGCTTTATTCAAATAAATTTACATTCAATAACCTGAAAAGAGTCAGAAATTACAAGGATGCTACCTTATGGCATAGTTCTTCCGAGGCCTCTCATCAAATGAGAGACTTCGGAAGAACTATGCCATATTCAATTAATTACAGAACTCCTAGCCCATTGGGAACTAGGTAGTGGTGGTAAGAGTACCTTATGGCATAGTTCTTCCGAGGCCTCTCATCAAATGAGAGACTTCGAAAGAACTATGCCATATTCGATTAATTACAGAACTCCTAGCCCATTGGGAACTAGGTAGTGGTAGTAAGAGTACCTTATGACATAGTTCTTCCGAGGCCTCTCATCAAATGAGAGACTTCGAAAGAACTATGCCATATTCGATTAATTACAGAACTCCTAGCCCATTGGGAACTAGGTAGTGGTAGTAAGAGTACCTTATGACATAGTTCTTCCGAGGCCTCTCATCAAATGAGAGACTTCGAAAGAACTATGCCATATTCGATTAATTACAGAACTCCTAGCCCATTGGGAACTAGGTAGTGGTAGTAAGAGTACCTTATGACATAGTTCTTCCGAGGCCTCTCATCAAATGAGAGACTTCGAAAGAACTATGCCATATTCGATTAATTACAGAACTCCTAGCCCATTGGGAACTAGGTAGTAGTTCCTTGAGTGATTTGTAATTTTTTTTTATGTGTTTTACGTGACGGTCCCATATTGTATCATTGTTTCATATTAGATTCTGTTTTAGCTTTTTTATTTTGTGTGACAAATTGATTATTGAAAATTAATACTTCTCAATTTCCCCGCCTAATTTTGGACTATTTTGAAAAGATGTAAATTTTTTACCGCCAAATCATTTATTTTAATTGGAGACAAGGACTCCTAACATTCGATCACTCCGATAAATCCCGGGCAGTAGGAATGGCCGATAAGATGGATGTCTTATCTTCAATTAACAAGGTACTTCCGTTCCTTATTTGAAAAAATAGGAGCGGAATACTTTTACCGAGAGGAATCTGGGCGTTGTTTTGTCCCAGATCCTCTCATTTTTCTTTTGTATTCCGCTCCCATTTACCAATTTAGTAAAAAATTACATTTAATTTGATTTCATAAAACCTTTAAAAAACAGCAAGCATTATTTCAATTTAATGCACTCATTTATTTTATTTTCTTTTTGTTTTGTTTGAATAAAAAGTTTTTTATTTTATATTTCAATTCTTTCTTTTTAATAGGGTTTGCATAAAATTTAGTGTATATTTCTTTAAGCAAACCTATATAAACATTCTTATTTTCATATTTCATTTGTCAATCTTGAATTGCAAATCAGATCTCAAAATTTTGAATCAAAAACTGAATGATGATTATGAATAAGAGAAATTCATAACACTTTTGAATGGAAAATTTGAATTTAGATTAAAAATTGTGTTTATCTTCTTATTTGCTGTATCTTTCTTATGATGGATGCTATAAAGGGTGCAGCTAACAGGAAATTATAAATTTTTAGCCGCACCCTTGAAACAATTTCCTGTTAGCTGTACCTTTGAAAGAATATTAGAAATTAGATAAATTTTTTGGATTGAATTTGATTTTGTTCCGTACCGAAATGCATCACTAGAAAAAGTGACAAAAAGTGACACTTACTCTTATTTTTCGCGGCAATTTTTCTAAGTTATTTTGTTAAGCTAAATGTGTTATATATCAAATCAGCTTTATAAATATTATAGAAAAAAAAAAAAAAGGTAGTGGGGCCTCCAGGCACTTCGTGCCCTCTAGCCCTGAAGATGTTTAGTATAACTTTGTCCGGACAAGTAAGGGTCTATCGTCGCTACAGGAAAAGTTACAGGCGTTCCAAGGAAGTATACTTTGAGAAGCCTTCTTCTGGGTCGAAAACATTATATAATGTGTCGCTTTTCACAAATTATATATGTTTTCATGCTTTGTCACTTTTCTGTCACTTTTCAGGAAAAACATTTTTATTATTATATATAAATGAATTTTACAAAACCACCGTTACCGTTCTTTGGAAATAAGGGTAAATGTAAAGATATTATATTGAGAGAACTTAAGAAACTACCGAATGGTCTAACATTTGTAGATTTGTTCGGTGGAAGTTTCTATATATCCCATTTGTGCCATACAATATTCCCAGACTCAAAGATTATATGCAATGACTTCGACAACTATATGGACCGTCTCAAACATATACCAGACACAAACAATATATTGAAAGAGTTAAAAGAAAAGATACCTATAGGTAAGATGGAACGTATACCATTAGATAACAAAAATATTGTGAGAGAGGTTTTGAAAAAAGCAGAATATATAGACTGGAATAGTATATCTGCTAGACTATTATATAGTGGTGCTATAAGAGTTCATGACATTGAAACACTTATGTCAAAAGTTTTATATCTTAACTATACAAATGTTTTCAAAGAGGACATAGAAAAATATATTGAGGGTATAGAGTTTGTGAGATGTCATTGGACAGAGTTGTATGAAAAATATAAAGACAAGGAAAATGTTTTCTTTATAGTGGACCCGCCGTTCTTTAACACATGGGATTTTCAATACCAAGTAGACTGGACTTTGAGAGACTCTTTAGAAACTTTAGACGTTATATACATACCATCCATGCTTTTACTTTACATATCATAAAAGTGGTTTGGAAACCGTTATGAGATGGTTAGAGGACATACATGACTATGAGTTTAGATATGACAAGATAGAATATGAGAGAGGTCCTATAAACCGGAGAAAGTGTCATAACAAAGAAATTTTATTAGTAAGTAAATGTGGTTTGAAATAGGACTACTTGTTTTAGGTTTTTTCCATTGTGTCATTTATTTCTTTGACGTGGCAGAAAGATATAGAGAATATGAAGATGAACCAATGCCTGCAAATGTTCAGTATATGTACTCGTAAGAGATATTTTTCTAATATTAAATGGACGCACAGAACTTAGCGAATGCACAGCAACCTGGACAACCAAACCCAGAGAATATTCCAAATGAAGTTAGAATACAAACTGCAATGGCAAACTATGGTCAAGTGCCAACAGATGTACAAATGCAAACTGCCATGTCAAATGACGCTGCGTTAGGTTTGCCACCATGGTATGCAAATATGAGATGGAAAGAGTTTTATACAAACCCTGAAGTGGGATATAAACAACTTTATGCAGATGACGCGAACACAGGAGTTGACCCAGAATATGTTTTCTACCAGAGGAGAAACAGAATGTATGAGCTCCAGTTAAAGAATGCTATGGAACTCAACAGGAAACGTAAGAGACTAGGCGGACATTAGATTTTTACATATAGTAAAATGGGTTTCTTCAGTAGTATTGGAAACTTCTTCAGAAGAGTTGGAAGAGGTATATGGAATGGAATAAAAACCGTAGGAAGAGGAATTTGGAACGGAGTCAAAAATATTGGTAAAAGAGTAGGTCAGTTTGTTGTATTATACCTAAAGACCCTGAACCAGAAGAACAAGCTCCTGTTATACAACAGCCTGAACCTGCACCACAGTCTAGTGGCAACCAAATCCAACACCTCAACCGTATTAAAAAATTATATTTTTACCGTTCGATAGTAGTTGTATATGAAACTAAGTTCTAAGTAAAACGCATGGTATAATGGAATTATTCTTTTTCTTCCATCTGTAGTAAACCATACTTGAAAGTCTGAAATACTTCCACTTGGTGGTTCGTATAACTTTGTAGGTTTTTCGTAAAAGTCATTTGCCAAGCATAAGAAAGAGTTTTGGGCGCCAGAAAATGAAGCATGAACAATAATAGCATCTTGGTCGAAAACATTTTCATATGTTCCATTAGGGTTTTCGACTTCATAAAAGTCTGGGTGTACTGGATATGCTGCAGGCTGATTTAACATCCTCATAAATCTATACCATGCCAAGTTGTTATATTTTGTAGAAATATAAACGTTTTCTCCAAGGTCTTCTATTTTATTGATTTTAACAGTTGCATTTTTCCTGTCAAATAATATCGAGATGGTACTCTCCCTCGTCAATGTTATACTGGTTTGCATATTCGATATAGATGTCGTTTATTTTTTCTTGAAAAGCTTGAAGAGTTGTTTCTAAGTTTACAAGCAAACTAACTTGTAAAAGTTTTCCCTGTTCAAATTTCTCATACATACGTTTTTCTTTGTTATAGTATCGAACTTCAAAACCGACCGTAAATGGGAAACCATGTATGGCTTCTGAAATGAACTTCATTCTACGAAAGCCAATAGCTTTTGTGACGGATGGGTCTCTTAACCATCTTAATGGGTAGTCAAAACGATAGCCTTCATGCTTTACGGTCTCTGTCTCAAACTTTTGACCGACATTAGTAAAAAGTTCATCTAATGGTTTAGTTGTAGCAACTCTTGAATTTTCTTTTTCTATTGAAAGCATATTTTATCTAGAATAAAAATGTCGAAAGATATTGCTTCCATAAGAGAAATACAACACAACCGACAACTCATTATGCAAGCTCTAAATAAGAACACAACAAACTTTTCAAACTATTCTAAGATATCTGAGTCATTGAAAGAAGGAAACTTAAAACTGACAATAAACCCAATGACAGATGAGTTTCTGTTTCAAGACAATAAGAACCATACTGTCTGTATAAATCCAACAAAAGGAACTTTAAACGAGAAACCTATAAATGAACTTCTTTTGAAGGCAGATGTTGACAACAAAGCTGACAAAGAATATGTAGACGATGCAATAGCAAAAGAAGAAGAAAGAGCTAACAATGCTTATGCAACAAAAGAACATACTCATCCTGAACTAGCAGACAAAACATATGTTGACAATAAAATGTCAAGTGAAGTGACAAGAGCTGAAAACGAATATTCTAAAAAGACTCATATACATTCTATATCTGATATTACAAACTTACAAGAAACCTTAAACAGTAAAAGTGCCGTTGGACATACACATACATCTTCTGAAATAACAGACTTAAACGTTAGCCTTGAAAAGAAAGCAGACAAGAACCATACACATGATTTCTTCACAACTGTTGGTATAGAAAGTATTGAAGGAACGGTTGAAGAAACTGGTGGGGATGCATTATATTGTAAACCTCCTAACTTTCCACAAGGTTTAACATCGGATGACGACATAACGACGATGAGAAACATTAGATGTAAAGATGTTTATGTCATGAAGGATGAACATAATATTAAATTCACTGCTCAAGATTTATATGACAAGAAAGCAGACAAAACAGAGCTTCAAACATTAAAGACAGAAATACTTCAAACATTATATCCTATAGGCTCTATTTATACGTCAATGAACTCTACCAGACCAGAAGTAGTACTTGGTTTTGGAACTTGGACTCAAATAGTCGACAGGTTTTTGTATTGTGCAAACTCTTCAAAGGAAACAGGTGGAAGTAAAACGATTTCAGGTGAAAATTTACCTGCGCACAGTCACTACATAGATTTAAGTACATCTCAAGCAGGTTGGCATAAGCATAGATATTGGGATTGGTCAGCAATGACAAAAGGTAAAGGATATGATGTTAAAGACAACGTTAAGTTTGCTATAAATTGTTACTGGAGTAACACTGAGGGAGGAGGAAACCATACACATCGCGTTACAGGATATACGCAAACAACGGGACAAAGTAAAGAATACATGCCACCTTACATGACAGTTTACGCATGGTATAGAAATGCTTAGTCGTCATTTTCAACTTCTTTAGCATATTCGTCAGGAGTTGTCTTATATTTGTTAGGAACTGTCTTTGAAAGTATACCACCTTGAACTTTGACAAGTTTGAAACGAGGTCTGGCAATAGTAGTTTTATCTTCTGCTTGCAGTGTGTACATTTTGCCATGTTTGCCTAAAACTTCATAATATTCTCTTGTATACTTTCTTCTATTTTTACGAACACGAATGTGAGTACCTATCGGGTTCCCATTGTTGTCATAGTCAATAGTATTTTCATATGGGTCGCGTTTAGGTATTTCTATTTTTACTTTGTCACCTTTCTGAAGTTTGAAGCCCGGCATTCTTTCTTGTTTGTCTCTTTGACTAAATTATTAAATATATAGTCTTTCTCTAAGTCAGGGTTGTTTTTCATTTCTTCGGGGGAGTGGTTTCCCAAACCTTTTTGTTTACGGCTATTGTAAATATTTAAAACTTGTCTCATCTTTGCCATGGAGAAGTGTCTATATTTGTCGTCATATGACATTTCATTTGCTTCACCACCTTGTGGTTGGTTTAAGTCTCTTAACATTTTTATACAACCGTCAATGACACCAAGAGCAGAATGGTTTTGGTCGACAATGAAATATTGGTTTACATTTTTTGAACGCAGATAGTTTTTTACATCATCTGATTTTGAAAGAACTTTCACAGTCAGATGTCAGTTTTGTTGGATGGTATTTGTCAACGAATATTGTCAAAGCAGTTTTCACATCTAAAATATTTTTGGACCATAATGGTATGGCTTCACAGTATCTTGTGTTTTGACCAACAAATATTAACCAGTATGGTGGTCCATCTTCTCTATACCTCGGAATGTTTTCCAAGATATCCATAAACCAAGCATTTGGTGTTGAACTAAAGATTTTTATCATGAGTGCTTTCTTTGTCGCTTTAGAAACATAGGGGTCCTTGTTCGGATTCGTCATTTTTTAACCCATAAGAAATGGGTTTATTTGGCGCATTAGGCAGGAGTTGCATCCAGATTTTTACCCGCAGGGAACAATAGCTAGAGGTGCATTTGGAATTGGAAGGAAGATTTTGAGTACATTAGGTATACTGAAAAGAGAAAGCACAACCTATTATACAAACTGTACAGAAAGGTTGGGAGGTAGCACGAGATGCAACAAATCTTATTCCAAATCCTGAAACAAGAGGAAAAGTTCAAGGATGGATGGACAATGTAGGAAGACAAGCAGGAAACTATTATAACAAAGCAAATGACTACTATAACCAAGCAGGACACTATATGGACCAAGGTGAAAGATTCTTTAACAGAGGATATAACCATGCACAACAATGGGTAAACAATAACCAACCTCAACCGCCTCAAACGTGGGGAATGTAAAGTTTTTTACTGAGATGAAATGAACAATACAGCATTGAGACAAATGGGTTCAAGATGGATTTGTCGACTTCCAGCAGTTACACAACGTGTTTGTCAAGTTCTTCCTATACCTCAGGAAGTTTTAGACCGACTTAAAAAACAACAACCAGTTGAAAACAAACCAAACTAAAATTTTTTACTGAGATGAAATGACCGAAGAAGTTGAAACGGTAGATTTGACACCACAAACAAAAAGTTCAGAACCATTGTCAAAACCTGTCAAAGAACTTACAGATGAAGAGAAAAATTCAATAATAGAAAGTGCCAGGTCTGGAAATACAAACCCTAACTACAAAGTCACTTTTCATAAAAATGGAACGGCTAGTATCTCAAAAAAGAAACAGACTCTCACTAGAGATGCGAGTTTCCGAATTTTTTTAGCCCTGGGATGTCATAACCGCTGCGGTTTTGTAAAATTTGGGATAAATTTTGACAATCCATTTTTTGTGGGATGTACGTTTATATCAATTTGCTCGGCGTTTGCCGAGCTATTGTACAATCCTACTCGAATTCATTACGCAGCCCTGGTCACTCAAAGGCCAGGGCATACAATTACAAAATAGTAGAGTGAGACTCTTCTAATTTCTTCCAATCACAAGGAAGATCTTAGAAGAGCCTCACTCTACTCGAACACATTACGCAGCCCTGGTCACTCAAAGGCCAGGGCATACAATTACAAAATAGTAGAGTGAGACTCTTCTAATTTCTTCCAATCACAAGGAAGATCTTAGAAGAGCCTCACTCTACTCGAACACATTACGCAGCCCTGGTCACTCAAAGGCCAGGGCATACAATTACAAAATAGTAGAGTGAGACTCTTCTAATTTCTTCCAATCACAAGGAAGATCTTAGAAGAGCCTCACTCTACTCGAACACATTACGCAGCTCCTGCTCAACAATGAGCAGGTCTTACCACTTTGAGAGGCTTTCGTCGAGTTCTGATGCAGATCCCAACGCGAGCGAGAGTCTCTCAAGCAAGCTTCTAATTCGTAGCTAGAGTTTCACTCTTATGAACTGGCAGCCAATTTGAGAGACTTTCGCTCGAGATCTAATGAAAAATCAGAACTCGGCCAAAAATTGCCCAAACAGGCTTGTAATTCGTAGCTATAGTATTGATCGTATGGATGTGTTGCCAATATGAGAGACTTTCGCTCGATGTCTGATATTGCATCAGACATCGAGCGAAAGTCACTCAAAACAGCTTAGACATGTCTATTTTGACGGTATTAAATGATTTCATAGGAAATGTCTCAGTTGTTAATTAAGTTCACGTGAGCTTTTATGAATGAAAATAAGTAAAAAAAAAGAATTTTCTCAAAAAAAATTGTGTACGCATTGAAATTTTTATCTATAAATTTAGATATGTCATCAATAATATAATATAATTTTAAATTCGTGGAGTACACTTGGGATAATTGAATATGGGCTACCCCATCCCAACCTCTCAAACTTCCTCTGAATTTGGACAAGGTATCCCAATCCCAAAGACCTATCTGAATAAAATGAAATAAGTATATTATATATATTATTTATTTGCTAATAATGAGCATAAATCGCTAAAATTATGAAGAAATTAAAAATTAAAAATTAAAATTAGAAAAAAATGTTGATTTAATGAGAGAATATTGTATAAAAATAGAATTATTAGCTAAAATACGTATTAATTTTATGATATTTCAATCACATTAACGAAAATCGCCCATTTTTAATTCAAATGGGCGGGAAAAAAAATAAAATTCCAAAAAAAATTGAATTGGGGAAACGATAGGGGACGGGATATGAGAAACCCCATATGTTTGGGAATTTTTCGCATCACTACTCTCACAAATAAAATATTGAAGTCTGAAGGAGCTTTCGAGACAACAGATGGAAAAGTTTACTTCACTGACCAACAGTTCATTATAGAACATCTCATTGACTTAGAGTCGAAATATTCTAAACTTTACAACAAACACAAAAAGTTGAAAGGAAAACAAAAACAAATGGCATATGATATTTATGAAGATGTTGACGACACAACTGTTCCTGCAAGTGAAGTAAAGTCAGAGAAACCGAAAAGTGACGAAAAACCGATAGAAGAAGAAAAACCAAAAACTGAAGATAAACCAAAACCAAAGTTTAGTTTGGAAACTAAACCAAGTCAACCTTCATTAGCTGGTATGGGTTGGCGTCAAAGACTTATGGCAGCAGGCGGTTATGTAAAGTAAAGAAAAAAATATTTTTTTATTCGAATTTGAAATGTACGCTGAGTTTGTTAGTGAACCTCAAGTTGAAGGAAACTTGTTTGTTAGATGAGAAATATGAAATGGCATACCATTTTAAAACAATATATTTTTACATATATTAAATGCTTCAGGTTGAAAAACAAAGAACAAAAGTAGCAGATACAAAACCGTTAGACTATATCTTTACAAATGCTGGTAGGACTATTTCAGATGAAGAAATTTCATCCCGAATATACAGGTTTGACTATCCAATTCGTTGGCTTCAAAGTCCTTCAGATGCAAAGGCAATAGGATTTAGAAGAGTTTTGTTTTCAAATAGAACTAACGCATTTATGTTCGCAGTATATTTTCATGGGCAGTATAAAGGTTCTGATGGTCTAATAGACAAATTTGACGAAATGAGAATCTTTACAGTTCGTTCAGACGAAAGTCTTGAGAAAACTCTAAATGACTTTCAAACTCAAATGAACAAATATTATTGGGAATTTCAAGAAAAATACGACTCTTTACTAAATGGAACATACTATCTGAAACTAGAATATGACAAGATGAACTCCACCGTTTCATTTCAAAAGATTGAAATTAACCCTCCAAGAGATACAGAGTTTTTATATTGGAAAGTAGACAAACGTTCTTGGGCACAATTTCTTCGGTTACTAAACCAGAACGAACCATTACCACCAGATGGTCCATTTAAATTTATACTTCCACCAGCAGATTTGACAGTTTATAGAAACGTGTTTGACCCTCAAAATGTTATGTGTCATGCAAGTTTCAGTTCAAGCAACAATAGTTTTCTATGTATTGGTAAGGACTTTTATGACTTTGCTTCTAAATTCTACGAACCACCTAGTAACAGTTTCTCTGACTTTCAAGTTTGGTTCACAACAAATGGTGTGCAACATATTATTCCATTGTACTATGACTTTTATCTCGAATTGTCTTTCATATATAACTACGGAAAAGTGCTGAAAAAGTATTGAAAAATAATGTTTATGTTAGCATGTTAGATCTAACACGTTTTCTAACCTCATGAATTTGTCAAAACTTCATCGTACATGCTTTGTCAAACAGGAACGTACATGTTTTGTCAAGACTTCTTCGTAAATGTTTTGTCATGATTTCATCGTAAATGTTTTGTCAAAACTTCTTCGTAAATGTTTTGTCAAACAGGAACGTACATGTTTTGTCAAGACTTCTTCGTAAATGTTTTGTCAAGACTTCTTCGTAAATGTTTTGTCAAGACTTCTTCGTAAATGTTTTGTCAAGACTTCTTCGTAAATGTTTTGTCAAGACTTCTTCGTAAATGTTTTGTCATGACTTCTTCGTAAATGTTTTGTCAAGACTTCTTCGTAAATGTTTTGTCATGACTTCTTCATCGTAATGAGTGTAAAGGACCCAAAAATATAATTTAGGTGAAGTGGTGCGATCTCACCTCCTTTTTCACCTCTTTTTTCACCTCTTGAATTTTCATGAATTTCCTTAAGATAGAAAAAATAAAGTTAGTTTTATTTTTTTATTTTGTATGTTAGATATGATTTCAGGGATTTTTTTGACGAAGTGTCAATGTTCACTTCGTCAAAAAATAACAGTTATCTAATGAAAAAGTGTCATTTTTTTGTATTTTTTGTATGTAAGATATGATTTCAGGGATTTTTTTGACGAAGTGTCAATGTTCACTTCGTCAAAAAATAACAGTTATCTAATGAAAAAGTGTCATTTTTTTTCACCCTCTTGAATTTTCATGACTTCTTCGTAAATGTTTTGTCGAAACTTCATCGTACATGCTTTGTCAAACATGAACGTAAATGTTTTGTCAAACATGAACGTAAATGTTTTGTCAAGACTTCTTCGTAAATGTTTTGTCAAGACTTCTTCGTAAATGTTTTGTCAAGACTTCTTCATCGTAATGAGCGTAAATCAGACAAAAATAATGTTTAGGTGAAGTGGTGCGATCTCACCTCCTTTTTCACCTCTTTTTTCACCTCTTGAATTTTCATGAATTTTCCCGAAATAAAAAATAAAGTTAGTTTTATTTTTTTTATTTTTTTTATTTTGTATAAAAAAATAAAAATGTCAACAATCGGCACAACAACAGTTCAAACAACAACAGCACCAAACTCGTTAGTCATGAATCCTACGTCAATGTTAGTAGAAATGAAAAGCTTCATTCCTTCTTCATATACTTTCGAAACAAAAATCCAGAAGATAAAGCAAGAACTTTTAACAAATAATTTAGACTGTAGTGCGAAAGATGAAGAAAATGAACAGTATCTTTATGAAATGCAGGACATTATTGACCATTTACCCAAATTGCCTGAAATTCAGCAGCAAAAGCTCACTATTCCTGAATTCGACGAAATAGAAGTCAAAGCAACTGACTCAGTAGAAATAAAGAAGTTCATACGAAAGGTAAACTATGAGTTTCTAGGATTTCATTGCAACCATAAGGTTATGGACAAAGATTGCGACATGGTATATAAGAATGTTTCTGACATATATAAATCTGAAGAATTTAAGACCTACGACAACTTTGTTTCGTTAGTTGCTGAATGTGTATGGCAGATAAGAGATAAAGATAGAAGAGGTAAGGTATGGAATGAACAAATAAGACCCGCTATGTTTGAGTTAAAGAAAACCATTGACGCTTTAGTTGTTTTAGCAGGTAAGGTTTCAGAATATAACGCAAAAATGAACCCGCAATGTTCTAAATGTAAAGCAGCAATGAGGAGATATAACTACTCCGTCAAAGAGATAGAACGTATGAGAAACGACTATGCTGACTTAAAGAAAGAAGCAGAAAAGCCAGCAGAAGATAAAATGGACATGTTGACATTTCTGAACAAAAACTATCCAACTGCTGACGATTTCCTTCTATCTGACGTCAAGAAGAAGTATAAAGAAACTTTCGGCATTGTTAAAACATTCGATATCCTCAGCGAAGAAATAGAAGCTACAAAACTGTTTAGGATTTCAAATATACATCGTACAATTCATGTAAAACGCTTGTGAAAAAAGAGGTGAGAAAAGAGGTGAAAAAACAGGTGAGATCTCACCTCTTCACCTAAACATTATTTTTGCTGAAAAATGACCAAAAATCATGAATTTCCTCATATGTTTGCTACCCGAGGAAAACCGCGGGTAGAGATTCCGTACGAAAATCGTGAAAAATTGCGACCCAGACTTTTTTCGGGGTCGCCTAAAACTCATGAAAATCGTGAAAAAATGACCAAATTTCATTATATAACTGTTATTTTTTTACGAAGAGAACTTTTGCACTTCGTAAAAAAAATCCCTGAAATCATATCTTTTATACAAGATAGAAAAAATAAAGTTAGTTTTTTGTAAAATATTTTTTTTATTTTGTATGTAAAGACATATATGACAAACACTGAGTTTGAAACAGTTAAAAAGATAGACAATGACACCAAATTGGTTAGAATAGGTGATTTAAACGTAAGATACTCAAAGAAATACAACAAATATTCTTTGTCAGACATTATATCTCCATTTGGAAAGAAACCGAAGGACTGGGTTAGAAATGCTTCAACTCAGAAATTTTTGACAAGAAATCCTGAGCTTATGATATCAGTAGCATTTCATGGAACAAGAGCATATCTTATAGACAAAAGTCTTATACCAATAGTTTTGTTATGGTTAGACCCAGTTGTTGGATATAACTTCATAACATATGGTTCATTCGATACGGAACGTTGCAGTGAAGGCTTACTTTACATCGTTCAGAAACCGAAGGACTTCAATACAAAGAGATATAAGATAGGAAGAACATATAATATAACTCAAAGATATGACAGTACAGTCAATATAGTCAAGGTTGTGTTTGCTAATGATATGAGAGCTGCAGAAACAGAACTACTTGAAAAGTTTGAGAAAATGTATGGTGCTCCCATAAAAGGTAAAGAAACGTTTGAAGTAGATGAGATAGATAAAGCTATAAAATTATTTGACGAAGTTGCTGAAAAATACATATAAAAATAACGTTTACCATGTAAAACGCTTGTGAGAAAACAGGTGAAAAAACAGGTGAGATCGCACCTCTTCACCTAAACATTATTTTTGCTGAAAAATGACCAAATTTCATGAGTTTTGTATGTTTTAGACCATGTGAGAAAACAGGTGAAAAAACAGGTGAGATCGCACCACTTCACCTAAACATTATTTTTGTCTGATTTACGCTCATTACGATGAAGAAGTCTTGACAAAGCATGTACGAAGAAGTCATGACAAAACATTTACGAAGAAGTCTTGACAAAACATTTACGCTCATTACGATGAAGAAGTCTTGACAAAACATATACGTTCATGTTTGACAAAACATATACGTTCATGTTTGACAAAACATTTACGAAGAAGTCTTGACAAAACATTTACGAAGAAGTCTTGACAAAACATTTACGAAGAAGTCATGAAAATTCACGAGGGTAGAGATTCCGTACGAAAACAGTGAAGAACAGCGAGACCGACTTCCTTCGGGGTCGCCTAAAACTCATGAAAATCATGAATTTCCTTAAGATAGAAAAAATAAAGTTAGTTTTATTTTTATTTATTTTTTTATTTTGTATGTAAGGACAGATATGTCAACAACAGAGAACACAACAACAGTTATAGTCCATGAAGCTATAAATGAAGAATATGAGTGGGTTCAGTTTAACAAACAACTCCGTCTCATTCGTTCGGTCAAAGACGATATGTACCAAATGCAAAGTATTTTGAATGCTCTTCGTTCTACAAAGCAAGCACATCATTGGTTTGAAAAACCAACAGACAAAAGAACTTTTAGAAGAATTTCCTCATATGTTTGCGACCGAGGAAAACCGCGAGTCGAGATTCCGTACGAAATCGTAAAAATTTGCTAAATGGTTTGAGAGGCTGGTATGTACATAGACTTCTTGTAAATGCTGTTGCAATGTGGGCTTCACCTCGTTACGCTTGTTATATTTTCATGATGTTAGATGAAATTCATAGACAAGAACGTGAAGAGCTAGAGAACAAGCTTGAAGCAAAAGACAAAAACATTCAGAAAAGAATACCACGTTCGGTACCAAAAGGAAAGGAAAAGAACTATAAGTATATGATTTATACTGAAGAGATGGAAAATGAAGAAGATAAAGATATGGTTATGTTGCATTTAGTCAGAAGAAACAAAAAGCTTTTACGACCTTGCTAAGATTTACAAATCTGACAGAAATTGGTTCTATCGCGAAAACTGACCGATTTCAATGACCCCAAATGAAGATGTGAAACAAATAGTTCAAGATACGTTACCTCAAACACACTATGATATGAAAGGTTGTACAATACTTACCTTCAAAGAAGATTTGCCATTGTTAAAGGAAAAAATAACAGAGTATTTTGACAACTTCAAACAAGTAGAGTAAATGAACCATTTATTTTTCAAGCTTGACTTCAGATGGCTCAGGTAGCTCTATAAAGTAAATTGCCTTGTCAAATCCTTCTGGCATTCCGAGTCCTTCCTTCCGACAGGAAAATATTTTCCCGACAACTGGAAAAAATTTTCCTTCCGACAGAAAAAATTTTTCCTTCCGACAGGAAAAAATTTTCCAGTTGTCCGTCCGTAAACCATTCAAATTTTCGAAAATTGAGAACTTTTTGGTCGAACTTCAGAAAAAGTTTTTCCTTCCGACAGGAAAAGTTTTTCCCGACAACTGGAAAAGTTTTTCCTTCCAACAGGAAAAGTTTTTCCTTCCAACAGGACACAAACGAATGTCTCACGTCCCTCTTCCTGAATGCCTTCCAAAGCCAGAAGAACCGACAGCCCCAGCACCACAACAGACTTACTAAGACTAAACACTTACATTTTTCAAGCTTGACTTTTTACAATTTGAACTTTGTTTGCGTAGATATGAATTCTGAAAGAAGTATGAGGGTCTTGTATGACTTTATACTTCTCCAGAGTTCATATCTGTCAAACTTACCTGCCATGGACTCTTTCATAAGTTCCATGAAATCGTCTTCGGACAATCCGGGGAAAAGTATTATGTCAGTAAGTATTCTTTTAACATCCTTACTTAAAACTCTTTGCTGTCTGTACACAAATGACAACTGAGATGTTAAAGTGTCTGAGCTTCTTAAGAATTCGACACATGTCTTGTTCTCTGTTCTTTAACAAAGGATGAGAAGCAAAGTCATCTAAGATAAGAAGACATCTATGAGGGTATGTCTTCCAATCGTAAGATTGCAATTTTTCGAAATGTATTCTATCTCTTTCTGTTTGTTTCTGAAGTGGTGTTTGTCTAATATTCTCTGCATTTCCTCATTTGGGTCTTTAAACTTAGAATTTATATACTCATTTATAGCATTATACTTCAAAACTTTTCTTTGGTACTTCTTTATTCCAATCTAAAACTCAGTATCCTTTATACATACTAACTTAGACTTCTTTATAATATCTTTGAACGAATTGACGGTTTGGTCAAATTGACCAGAAGTACTACAAATAACAACTAACTCATAGAATGGGTTCTTCTCATTCTAGTTCTTGTGTTGTGCAGCCATTTTAAGATAAGTGAAAGTCTTACCCGACCAGGTGGTGCAATTAGACCTGTTATACCATTCTGAGCAAATAAGAACTTGTCATGTATAGGCTTTATCTGAGCATTTTCTAACTTTCTCTTGTTCTTATTTAAAACATTCTCAAATTTCTTGTCAATGTCAGCAAACTTTTTTTCTAACATATTTTTAGAAAAATTAAAATTTTTATCTTTTAGAAAATGTCTTAGCGATTCGCTATCTATATTCGAGACAAGCTTTTCGACAGCAAAACATCTGTCGACCATAAAATCTTACATAGTGTAAACAAGAAAGGTGAATTTGTTCTAAAGTTCTGTTTCTGGGAATATGACAAGAACCATAAAACATTAAGCAGAGCAGTCTTAAATTTGTCAATGACAGACTTGTTGACAGAGATGACGCCTCTTTGGAGAGATGAAGTCCAACAAAACTTCTTAGAATGCAAAAGAAGACACATGCGCTGTTCTTGAAGATGAAATAGAAAACAGAATAGATGAGCTATTAAAGGACAAAGAACTTTTACATAAATATGGTTCTGAGAAATTTGACATAACTCCACCAGAAAAAAGAAGAAGAGAAAAGAAAGAAAAGAAAGTAGAAGAAGAGAAGAAAGAACCTGAACCAGTTCCAGAGAAAAAGAAATTTGACATGTAAAAATAAAATTTTATTTTTAGAACATTTCTGGTCAATGTCAATGTTTCTTCCTTTAGGGGCAAACACTGGCTTAGACTCTAAAATCTTTTTACCCAATTTACCTTGAACTTCAACTATCTTAGACTCATAATATTCATAGTCGTCTGCTTTCTTTGGTTCATAAGGTATAACAAGTTTGTATGCTTTGCCTTCTTTAAAGTTTGAGAACCTTCTGTCAAAACTTTCTTTGACTGTTAACCTTCTATGTCTAAGTCTTCAAATTTCGCACCATTTTAGTCACAATAGCAAACTTAACTGGTTCGATGTTCCAAACTTTGCTGAATGAAGACTTTTCAAATGGTAGAAGTAAACATTCAAATATGTGAATGGGTCTAGTTCTTCTTTAAGTCCTGACATGTATTGTTACTGAAATATATTTCGTCATCTTTTCTATCGCGATAAAAAATATTTTTTTTAAAATTTTACTCATAAAAATTTTCTTTGTATATACACCATTCTGTACGTCTAAAAGACTTTTGACATTTGCCAAGAATGTTCGTTTAGACGCTGTCATATAACCATATTCTTGACAATATTGTTTATACGAATCGTACAATGACCTTTCATCTAATGACACAAAGTCTTTCATCTATGAACAGTTCATATACACTCTTGTTTTGCTTCTAACAATGTTTGTCTCTCTTCGGTATGTGGAATTTGTCTTGGATTGAACTTTGAAATATCTAATGTCATAAATAGAGAACAAGTGGTTGTAAAAGTCAGATGTCAGTTTCTGCTAAGTCGTCAAAATATTCTGTATCTTGCATATGAGAATCTGATGTTCTGACAACTACATATCTTCTGTCAGAACTTTCTAACTTCATCGGAACAGCATTGTTTGAAACCATAATGAAGTTTGCAACATTTTCACAAACTCTTTGGTCTTTATATTTTCTTTCAAACAACTCCAACTTTGTCTGTTATAAGACTCTTCAAAGCATCTGAGTTCAAAACTTTTGTTGTATCTATACTTTGAAGTTCGTTACATACTATAAGTTTCATATTCTCTATTGAGGAGTTAAATTTACCGCAGATGTTTTCTATGTTTGTCATATTCGGGTTCGAATAGCCCTCTAACAGTTTGCACAAAATATCTGTAAAGAATGTGTTCTTACCAGTTCCTTGTTTTCCAATTATAATGAGAGCAGTTTCATTTTTAGCACTTGGATGTTGTAAGATGTTTGCAAACCAACATAAGATATACTCATAGACTCTTTCGTTTCCATTGCATATAATTTCTTTGACATGGTCTAACCAAGCTTCTATAATATTTTCTTTCCATTCTACTTGTTCATATTTATATCCAGTGAAGATAGAATAGAAGTTTGGAGAAGGTGTATAGAACTTTATACCTCGAACTGAAAAATCTTCTAACTTTGACAATAAGATATCCCAAGCATCTAACATCTTCATGCCAACTTGTACGACTTTTATTTTCTTAAGTTTCTGTCTACATTCTTGTTCAGACACTATTGTTGCCTTGGTTTGTTAAAGACAACATCCCATTCTTTTCATGACATAACATTCTGGGGCAGAGTCAACATAAATGACTAAACGTTTCAAATTCTCGACTGCTTTGTTATAGTCTCGAAATGGACACATATTTCTGAATGCTTGGAAGTCATAAAAATCTGAAACATCTATTCTGTACATTTTTTATAAAAATAAAAAAAATATTTTTTTTATTCTTGACTTTGTTGTTGCATTTGTTGCATTTGTTGTTCTTGAGCTATTTGTTGTTGAAGTTG